AGGCCTCCGGGCGCAATGTGTTCCCTCACTCTTCGGGGCTCTGTGCCGCCTCAGCGCACGTTCCTGTGTTTCGATCACAACCGCAAGGACTCTCCCGCCACAAGACGCACAGCGGCAGTGAAGTCAGCTCGCGCCAAATCCGCACAGCCTCAGCGTTCCCGTCTCGCGCCAAAGTCCAGCCACGCTCCTGATTAGCTGTCACGAATCACCACGCCTTCGCCGGCGACGAGCCACAGCCAATTAGACAGCCCCAGGTCTCAGAGCCCCGCACGAAGCCACACCCTCTCGCCAGGGAGGGCGTTAGCATCTGAGACCTCCGCGGGAAAGGCGCGCTTGCGACTCATTAGGTAAGCACGCCACGCCGCAAGGCTTGGCGGGAAGTGTAGTTTTTGCCGCCACTTAAATCTGCTTCCGCATTTTCATTTCTACTGGGTTAGCTTTGTCTTCCCTCGCTGCCAAACGCATCCATTTTCCTGGAATATCTTTGCCTCCCTTCTCTGCCAAACGTACCTATTATTTTCTTGTTTTTGTTTTTTGGTTTTTTTTTTTTTAGACAGGTTTTCTCTGTGTAACCGCCCAGGCTGACCTGACTCTGAGTCTGGGAAACAGGGAGGTTCCCAAGAGATACCCCAGAGAAGTGGAATGAGGCAAGATCTCCTGAGCAGATTGGGAACATGGGGGGAGGGGAGTGCTGGGATTAAAGGGAGGGCCACCACCGCCTGGTGTACCTATTTCATTATTAGGGCTTGTTACACAAGGCTTACATTTGGGGGCGGTCCCGTAGGGCATGAAGCTAATGAATGCATAGGTTCACAGTTCTCGGTGGCAAAGGGCTGATGAACCAGGGCTTTTTTTGGTCAAGCTCTATACCTATATAAACAAACTAACGTCATCTCGGTATTTGTTGACTTGCACTTCAAACAAGACCAACACTAAATGTGCAGTTTTGGTTTGTTCCAAGTAACATACTCTGTGCCTTTTTAACACTAATCTAGCTATCCATCATAAGGAACAGAATTATGTCCCTTTAATTTGACTGTCTTTTATGGCCAAACACGGGTTTAGGGGCCAGGGAAGATAGTTATAGGAGCGGAGCGGCAAGCTGAGCATTTAATGAAAAGTATAAATTAGAGCAGTCATTTACAGGCCAGGTTCCAAGATTAATAACCCACCTCAGGTTCCTTTAAAGGTCAGAACCAAATTCTAGGCAACTGTAAATTTTATGTTTCTTTGTTTTGGTTTCGAGACAGGGTTTCTCTGTGTAGCCCTGGCTGTCCTGGAACTCCATGTGTAGACCAGGCTGGCCTCAAACCTGCAAATCCGCCTGCGTCTGCCTCCCAAGTGCTGGGGTTAAAGGGGTGTGCCACCACACCTCCCTGTAAAATTTATCTTTTATCCTCCCATGTCAAATAAAAGACATACAGCTAGGAACAGGAAAGCAACATCACAATCATTGGTTAACTCATAGTTAATTTCCAATGGTTACCACTGAGTCCCTAAGTGTGCAGGGGCTGAGTTATCACCTTAATTAGGCTTTACAAGCACCCTAGGAAGTTGATAGGGACCTAAAGCAGAGGAACTGAGTCCATTTGCTCCAGGTCATATAACTAGTGTGTGGGAGAGCTGGGATTTGCATTCTTATGACAGAAGACTAAGGTCTTGACTACTTAATCCTGGAGGATAAGATAGGTGGGTTCTAAACAGGACAAGATGGTGAGGAAGTACGTTTTGTTAAGGCTTTCTAGCAGCTATGAACCCCAAAATAGGACTGGAAAGATAGTTCAGAGGTTAAGAGCGCTGGCTGCTCTTCCAGAGGACCTGAGTTCAATTCCCAGCAAGCCAACTGTCAAGATCTGGTGCCCCCTTCTGGCCTGCATGTGTACTTGCTGCCATGACTGGCGAAATACCACACAAGGGAGGCTTTCAGAACAGAAGGTGTTTCTTACTAATTAGGACAAGGACCTAAAACCTACCCACACCATCTGAAATAGGAAGGTATTTGAGTAAGCTTGGAGATGACGGCCCATGACCTACTTCAGTTACAAGGGTTAATATGCACACTGGGGCCTAAGAGGACACTCGCTAGGTTTAAAAAAAAAAAAGCTCAAGAAAAGCCTGCAGTGTAGCAAATGACCTGTGTGCTTGCCAGGCCTAACCTGTGAAAGGTTATCTGTCTACTGGAGGCTTTTCCTCCAGTAACCTCACACACACCAGTTCCTGTACCTTCGTACTCACTGTTTCCTGGCCAACTCCTATGAAAGTCTTCCTGCACAGGTTCCTCCTGCTGACTACCATGCCTTTGAAGGCATGAACCATGTCTTAACTATCTTCGTATGCAGGGTTCTGCTATAAAGTACATGATAAACACTTGCCAAATGAAGGGGTGGAAAGGACATTCTGTCAGGCTTATATCCACTATTTGCATGATTGATTTTTCCTTTTTTTTTTTTTTTTTTTTTTTTTTTTAGTTTTACAAGACAGGGTTTCCCCGTGGCTTTGGAGGCTGTCCTGGAACTCACTATGTAGACAAACTCTCGGAGATCCACCTGCCTCTGCCTCCCGGGAGCTGGGATTAAAGGCGTGTGCCACCAACACCCGGCAGCATGAATGATTTTTAAAAATATTTTATTTATTTAGTATACAGCCTTATGCCTGCAGGCCAGCAGAGGGTACCAGATCTCATTCAAGGTGGTTGTGTGCCACCATGTGGTTGCCGGGAATTGAACTCAGGACCTCTGGAAGAACAGTCAGTGCTCTTAAGCGCTGAGCCATCCTTCCAGCCCCTGCATGAATGATTTTTACGGTTGGATAACATACATAGTCCTTTAAATCTCACAGCCATAAACCTAGTAGAATAAATGTAATTATGTGTAAAAACAGTTCAGACTGGGCATCAGTGGTGTCAAAGGTGAAAGAAACCCTTCTTACAATTATTCTCTTGAGTGGTCAGGATCCTGAGGATGACATTTTAATCCTCTTACGATCAACAGAGCATTGGGAAGCCAGAAAAAATCAGCTTCCTTCCTTTAGGTGCAGCTCAGAGTCTGGGCCAGGACACACTTAAGAAGCATGTATGTCCCCAGCACACATAGCTGGGCCTCAGTAACCACCGGTGAGCAGGAGTCACAGCACACTGGAAAGACCTGTCTGGCATCTTCTGAGTGTGTGTAAGGGGACACACACAGACCAGCAAACCTGTCCCAGTGAGAGAATTTATAGGGTTAGAAAGCTGAGGGCCATTTAAGCAAACTCCATTTGCAGGTTATTAAGTTAGGAAGAACAATAAAATCAATAGTTTATTAATCATATTAATAATAAAGATGGGTCAAATAATTAGGAACCCAGCCACTATGGTATTAATCCTCTCCCAACAGGTTTTTCTATCTAGATTATGTGAGCTAGATCTATACACCCACCCATTTTAAGTCAGTAGGGAGGGGATGCAAGTCCAGCTCAGGATTGACCGGTTCCTGTCAGCTGACCAGTGACAAAGAAGCCTGGTTGGATTTTAACCCCTAATGTAAGTAAAAGTTCAAGAAAACTAGCTAAGATCTCAGCTCAAAAAGCAGTGAAGACGTGGTGTTACAGAACCCTGATCCCAGCCCTCAGGGAGGCAGAGGCAGGCTGATCTCTGTGAGTTCAAGGCCAGCATAGTCTACAAATAAAGTTCCAGGACAGCCAGAGCTACACAGAGAAACCTTGTCTTGAAAAGAACAAAAACAAAAAAAAAAAAGAACAAAAACAACAATAAAAAACAAAAGACACACTTAGCAATGACTATTTCTAGACATGAAAATGATGGTGGCATACACCTTTGATCCCAGCACTGGGGAGGCAGAGGTAGTCTGATCTCTGAGTTCAAGGCCAGCCTGGTCTACAGAGTTCCATAGCAACCAGAGCCACAGAGAAACCCTGTCTCAAAAAACCAACCAACCAAGCTGGGTGTTGGTGGCCCACACCTTTAATCCCAGCACTTGGGAGGCAGAGGCAGGTGGATTTCTGTGAGTTCAAGGCCAGCCTGGTCTACAGATCGAGTTCCATGACAGCCTCCAAAACAATACAGAGAAACCCTGTCTCGAAAAACCAAAAAAACAAAAACAAAAAAACAAAACCCAAACAAACAAAAAGCAGTAAAGACAAACAGCACCCACATATAAATGGATTCATGAGATCCCAAAGGCCCAGTCCCCGCACTCTTTCTTGGCCTCAAACCACAGGTGCAGGGGGACAGACTCAGAGAGGTCCCAAGGGATGAAACACAAGGGCAGGGAGCCTCTAAGGCTCCTTGAGAGTCAGTGGTCAGCGAGGCCAAAACGGTGATTTTTAAGACACCCAGGCAGAGAAACCCCTCAGAGAGCTGCAGGTGCTCTGCCATGCCCATCCATCCACTCGTGTCCTTCCTTGGGGGAAGCTGAAATGCAACTGCCACTTTCCCAGAGGAGACAAGAGATTTCCTCCTCTCTCCTTGCCATCACTTGAGGCAGCATTACTCATAACAAAAATACACACAGTTTTCTTTTTTGTTTTTGTTTTTAAGGTTTAATTAAACTGCACAGCATCCAGAAGAAATGTACCAAGGAATTCAACCTGAGACCAGATTATACATTTTATGTAGGGGATGAGGGATGCAGGGATCCTTGCTATTGTGGAGAAGCACTGAAACCAGAATAAAAACTCCAAATAAATCACAAAATAAATTATTTTTTAAAGAAACTGACCCACATGCAGATGATGGACACACACACACACACACACACACACACACACACACACACACACACACACACGAACATAAGCGCACACACAGGCACACATCACTCTGGTCTTTTGTTCAGTGTTGACTGTAACTTCCAAGCTGGAAACCGTGGGAAAGGATGAAAACTAGACATGGAAAAAGAGGGTGTGCTAATAAGCCCCTCTGCCACCAGGGTTTCGTAAGATTTAAGACAATTGGAGAAGAAACCCACCGAGCTGTAAGAAACGAGAGCAGAGAGGAAACAGCAGTTATCAAGGAAGTTTTAATTACTTCACAGAGGGGGAGAAAGCACAGAGATCTGACACAAGCAAAGGCACAATGAACGTGGTGGAGTTGAGTGGAACCGAACCCTTCCTTCAGTTAAATGGTTGTTGTTGGGTTTTTTGTTTTTATTTCTGCATGTGATTTTGAAGGCAGGTATCATTTTATTTCATTTAATCTCAAGAAATGAGTCTTGAAGGCAGAATTATAGTAGCCTCCTCTCTTTCCCCTCATTCCCTAAATCTGACCACAGAGCTAGGGACTGAAGTCACAGGGAAAGGAGACGACAGCTGGAGTGTGAAGAACCTGATTGCAGCTGATTGTAGGTTTGGGTTTCCAGAAGGACAGACCGCACAGTACAGTGCTATCAGGGGTCTCTGACGCCCTACCCTCCACCCACCCCAGAGTCCCACAGACGGAAGGACCCTGGAGTCACATTTCTGCCACACTCCCATAAGCACTCAGCCTACAGATTGTTTCAAGTGATCAGGAGAATTAAAACATACCCCAACCCTGAGTTTCTCTGTAGCAAATCTATTTACAATTATTTTTTTTCTTCCTCCTCACCTCTCCCTGGAGGTAAATCTGGGTTTCAAGCTGGGAAGCCACTGGGTAAGGGGATCCCCCTAGTGCAATGCCAGTGACTAGTTTCCTTGCCTTTGCTGGGAAGGGGGACAGGACAGGGACGAATTCCTGGCGATGACAGCCTCACATCCATCAGCTGGGGTAGCCCTAGCTGCTCACACAATTGGCCCGGGCTGTGAAAATGGTAGGGCTCTGCAAACCCCCAGGAGGGAGAAAGCCATACCTGGAGTATCCGAAGTGCTTTGGTCCAGGTTTGGTGACTAGAGAAAGGGAAAGGGGCATGTAGCTCATTTCAAAGTCAGAGGCCACTGCCCAGCTTTGGGTAGGGCAGTAAGAAACAACTACTAGTGTTTCCTATTAGGGGAAAAGCCCACAAAACCCACAGGAAAGCTGTTGACAAAGCTTCTTGCTGCTTAGTTGGGCAATGTCTCTTCTCTTTCTTTGGGAGGGGACAAGGGAATTAAAGGGATTAGGCTACAGCCTCAACATGAGACCACCCAATCTTCCACTGAAGAGACAACATTCCCATAAGCAGATAAAAAAGCAGTTCCAAAGGGGAAATTTTTCAGTGCTCTTGCAGCCCGCCCACCTTAAACCTGTATTACAAGCTCTGTACAACATACAAAATAGACCAACAGTTATTGAGGATCACATTCCCTTCTACAGTAGCAAATATACATGGTAACAAATCTGTTATTAAAGCAGGACCAAATGATGCATAAGGCAAAGACATTTCAATTAGGTGCTGTGTCACCAACATGCTCTTAGTCAGATCTAAACCCAGGCCTTTGTTTGCTTGTTGTTGTACCAGGCAAAGACAATGAAAATATAATCACTACCCACATGACACAGTCCAAATTTGGAGAATATGAAGGACGCAGGTCATGTAGAAGAAGGTATCAGCCCCAGTGAAAAGCTGGGGTTTGGCTTTATTTGCTATATTATATATTCTGATGTTCTATGTTTCAGTAAGGGGAAATCTCTATACACTTTGATAACATTGTACAAAAGGCATCAACTCCCATTTCAAAAACAAATGGGAAGACTTCACAGTCAAAGTTCAGCAATTGGCATCTACCCTGGAACTCTTGCACTATCAGATCCTCTCCCTCTCTTAGTTCTGTTCACTTTAGGGTACTGGGGATACTCCTGGGAGGTGACTGCTACGGCATTTGAGAAGAACCGTAAGCAGTGAACAATTAGAAGTCTAGTGAAATCTAATCACTGCCTGTCCCAAGAGTCAAAGTGGTCCAGGAGATAGATGGCAAAGGGTAATACCCAATAAATAAATAAACCAAGGTAAGCCCACCTTCACCAGCACTGGAAGATTTGGGTATCACCTGGCATCACACACAGATCCTTAGTCTATGTTTCACTAGATTAGAAAGGTCCCTATGAACCGGATGTGGTAGTGTACAACATTAATCCCAGTACCTGGGAGGCAGAGGCCAGTCTGGTCTACAGATCAAGTACCAGGACAGCCTGGGCTATACAGAGAAACCCTGTCTTAGAAAATAATAATAGTCATAATAATAATAATAATAATAATAATAATAATAATAAAAAAGAAAAGAAAGGTCCCTATGACAGTTTGACCCTGTGACATATCTGAAGGTTTTTAACTAGCCTCCCCTATTAGATTCAAAGAATCACCAGGTCTCCCCATGGTCATGGAAGGTTTAAGCAGCCTTTGCCCATGGCTATGACTATAGGAAACCAACTTTTCCTGTGTGTGGAGTCCCTGGTGCCCCACATGCTGTTGGAGAAGAGACACTCACTGTTCAATGACCAACCTCAGTTAAAACATCCATTTTTCCTGTGCTGTTTACCTACTACCTGGAAGACAGAGAACAATGTATTGCTGGCTGCCAAGGAAGACCCGCTGATGGACTGAGGCAGACCTCCTTAAGTCTTTGTGCTTCTTGGTTTACAAGACTCTGAACGAGCCCCCAAAGGTCCCACATATTTCCGTGCCCTTTCTACTCTGTGGTCTTAGTCCCTGCAGTCTTGGGAAGGTAGGGTGGCAGAGAAAACAGGGAGAACCTGCTGTGTCAGAGGGGTATAAGCAGGCTGTGGAGACCTTTGTAGCCCCGAGCCAGGCCCTCTCCTGAAGTGCTTCCTCAGAGCACTCTCCAAGGCTGAAGGACTCTAAAGGCTGCTGACCACTTCAGGGTTAATCAGACAAAACTGAGGCTGACTTAAGATTGAGGTTAAGGTCCTCGCCTCCTCTTTTCATCTCTTATAGGAAGTTTCTGGAATTTGTGAACTGGGAATATGAATAATGCACCCAACAAAAAGTGACTCTTCCCTTGAAGGACCAAAAGGACATCCTTCAGCCTAGCACCCCAGGGAAGGGCAGGGGGGGTCCCAGGGAGTTCAGATGGCCCTGGCCCCTTAGCTGCAGAAGAGCTGACTAGCTCTGGAATGATCCTCAGTTTACTTCATCCCCTTCTTTTATTGTTTAGGTCAACTGATTAGTATTTAGTGTATGTACAACTCACCCCTTGGAATGGGTAGAAGAGAGATAAAACAAAACCAAAATGCTCTTAAGAATGAAGAAGCTCCATTTCTTTGTCCTTTCTATAACCTGACCTTTAAAACAGATCACTTCTCTACAAACTCCCTTCCTGCTTCACAAAAAGTACCCTTTCTTCAGCAGTCCTGACCATACCAACCTCCTAAACTATGGAATATAAGCACACACCAAACTCCCCTCTTGGTGAATAACAGCAGACAGGGGTCCATTCTCCACCCTGCCCAATGTGAGTCCATTCACCATAACAAGGCACCTTTCCCTGGAAGAAAGCAGGCGATATGGGAGCTTTCTCCTTTTCTGGCTAGCAGGGCTTGCTGGAAGAGGGCTGGATACAGGGCTTGAGACCCTATTGCCAACAGAAAAAATCCAATCATCAAGTCCAGAGATGAGATGCATAGATGGAGCTGGGCCGGGAGGATGCTTAGAGTCTATGGTTGGTCGCACTGGAGAAACACTGTAGGAGCTCTCATGCAGGTTCTAGGGGCTGGGGGACCATCTGAGAAGAGGAGGCCCATCTTTTTCCTGAGGAGCAGGACCAAGCCAGGCTTCACCTGAGAACAGGTGGCAGAGGTGGGGCTCCACGGGCAGCTGGGGAAACATGAACCATAGATATTCAGCTCACGTACCAGACCCTAAATAGCACCTCTGAAATGAGACAGGCTCTTAACATCAGGGACTAGGGCTGAAGGAGAGCTTGGCTGGGGGTACTTGCTGCCAGGCCTGTTGACTGGAGCTGAACCCCCAGGATCCACTTGGTGGAAGGAAGGTGAGAACTACCTCCTGCTGCCCTCTCCATGTGCAGAAGCCCATTCTGACCCCAGGAAATACACCAACTCTACGCTGCACACACTCATGGACACTGTCTTCACCCCCTCGCACCTCGGTTTGTCTTGCTGGGGTATACTCTTTGAAGATGCTTATATTCTTCCGGAGCGGGGAAGTCCTCTACTGGGTGGAAGGAGTACTTGGACTCAAAATCATCTGTGAAGAAAAGAGAAGAGTATTACATCATGCCTCCCACAGACTTCTTAGGACCCTCCCTATTTACTATTCTCCTGTGGGTTCTGCTGTATGGAGAGCCTGCTCTTCCCACCAAACCAAAGTTCCCAAGACAACAAAAGCGTCAACCTGGGTGCCTCTAATGTACAGTACATCTCCAAAGATCCTTTATTTGGGGGCTGGGGAGGTGGCATGGTCAACATGGTGCTTGTGCAAGTGTAAGGACCTGAGTCTGGATCCCCAGCACCCATGTAAAAGGCTGGGCATGGTGACAGGAGCCTGTAACCGAGGGCTGTGGAGGCAGGGATCAGAGGATCACTGGGACTTGCTGGTCTGCCAGCCAGACCAATTGTGGATCTCCAGATTCATTGAGACATCTTCTCTCAGAAAATATGGTAGAGAGAAATTAAGAAAGACACCTAACGTTGACCTCTGGTCTCCATAACCACCTGGATACATACATATGCACACATACATGTACACATGTGAACATATACATGCAGAGGAAAAAACTTCATTCTTTTAAATTATGTGGGTGTGTATATGTGTGTGAGTGTTTTGTTTACATGTACGCTTGTATATCACGTGCATGCAGCACCCACAGAGGCTATGGGAGGGTTTGTACAGCCCCATATTGGTGCTGGGAACTGAGTCCTCTGAAAATGGAGCCAATACTGAGCTACCTCTCCAGCCCCTTTCTGTGCTGGATAGTTTTTGTGAGGTTTTTTTGTTTTGTTTTTTCGAGACAGGGTTTCTCTGTAGTTTTGGGGGCTGTCCTGGAACTAGATCTTGTAGACCAGGCTGGCCTCTAACTCACAGAGATCCGCCTACCTCTGCCTCCTGAGTGCTGGGATTAAAGGCGTGTGCCATGGATAGTTTTATTTTAACTTGACACAAGGTAGAGTTATCTGAAAGGAGGAAACCTTTATCGATTGATAAAGTAACTCCATAAAATCCAGCTATAGGGCATTTTCTTAATTAGCAATTAATGGGGGATGGCTCAGCCCATTGTGGGTTGTGCCATCCTGCACTGTGGTCCTGGGTTCTATAAGAAAGCAGGCTGAGCAAGCCATGGGGAGAGAGCCAGTAAGTAATACTCCTCCATATGGCCTTTGCATCAGCTCCTATCTATAGGATCTTGTCCTGTTTGAGCTCCTGTGCTGACTTCCTTCAAGCAATATGAAAGTGTAAGACAAATAAACCCTTTCTTACCCAACTTGTTTTTCGGTCATGGTGTTTCATCACAGTAATAGAAACCCAAATTAAGACAACTTACTATTATTATTATTTTTAAGACAAGGTTTCTCTGTATAGCCCTGGGTATTGTAGAACTCACTCTGACCTAAAACTCAAAGATATCTGCCTGCCTCTGTTTCCCAAGTGCATGGATTAAAGGCGTGTGACACCACTGCCAGGCTATTGTTGGTTTTTTGTTTGTCTGTTTGAGACAGGGTCTCACTATAGCCTTCACTAACCTCGAACTCTGAGACCAGGATGGTCTCAGACAGAGAGAGATTTGCTTGTCTCTGTCTCCGGAGTTCTGGATCAATGTGTGTGTCCACAACCAGAACCAGTATCCACCCTTTTAAAGTTCCCAATGTAAGAGTCCCAGGCTGACTCTTTACATCTTTCCACCAAAATTCAGACACTATGGGAAAGGAACACATCTGTGTGTGCAAGCAGAAAGAAGTATTGCTTTGCTCCAGAAACAAGGTGGGTTTAAAAGACTGTTTCTATGGGAAACGAGTTGAACTAAATTTACAAGGTGGTAGCCATTAACCTCAAAGGGGGCATGCGTCTCTAGCTAGTGAGAGGTTTTTTTTTTTTTTTTTTTTTTTTGGGTTTTTCCATACAGGGTTTCTCTGTATTGTTTTGGAGGCTGTCCTGGCACTCGCTCTGTAGACCAGGCTGACCTCGAACTCGCAAAGATCCGCCTGCCTCTGCTCCCGAGTGCTGGGATTAAAGGAGTGTGCCACCACCCAGTGCTAGTGACAGTTTTAACCAGAAAATATTCTTTCAGCCTCGGTTACCTTACATTGTTCTACAACACAGTTCAGCCAGCGATGTCCTGCTCCAGTACTTCCTACGACCACTTCATAAGATTCAAAAGTCTCATGAGTATGTCATGATCACACTTCAAGAGTTCCTTTTTCTATTCAAAGTTTTCTCTCTTGTTTAGATAGGGTCTTGCTATGTATTTCAGACTGGTTTTGAATTTAAGATTCTCCTGCATCAGCTAAACCATGTGCTGGGGATACAGACACATGCCACCATACCCCACTAGATCCAAAGGTTTCTGCAATAAGAATGTATGTTCAAAGCAAAACCCCGGTGCATCTGTTAAGAACAGGTTGGAGCTGGGCGTTGGGGGCGCACGCCTTTAATCCCAGCACTTGGGAGGCAGAGGCTGGTGATCTCTATGTGTTCAAGGCCAGCCTGGTCTACAGAGTGAATTTTAGGACAGCCAGGGCTGCTACACAGTGAAATCTTTTCTTGAAACAAACGAATCACTGACTGCTTACCCAAGAAGGAACGAACAGTGGTGATGGAGTCTCTATGGCCATTCCTCAAAGGGGGTGGTGGAGGAGGGGGTGGCCCAGCTGGTGTCCTTGAGGGTGGAGGTGGGGGCTTTCCTCTGCTCGGTGGTTCTGACCCATGCATTCGGTAAGGTGGTGGCGGAGGGGGAGCGTCCCTGGCACCATTTCGGACCATGGGTGGTGGGGGTGGAGGAGCTGCAATTAAAATCCAAAGCAGTTAGGCTTGGGCTAGAGCTGCAAAGGAGAGAAGGGTTTGAGAGACACAAGCTAAGAAACCAGCCTGGGGGAAGCTAGTGAGGGAGCAAATGTGAGAAATGATACAGATGTACAGAAATGTTGTGATGAAACTCATTTTATACACTGACTATTAAAAAAAATTCATAGAATGCCAGGCAGTGGTGACAGACGCCTTTACAGCACTCAGGAGGTAGAGGCAGGTGGATCTCTGAGTTCAAGGCCATTCTGGTCTACAAAGAGTTCCAGCACAGCCAGAGCTACACAGAGAAACCTGTCTCGAAAAACAAAACAAAACAAACAAAATCCTAGAAAATAAGGAGAGAATCAGACTCTCCTGTGGAGACAGGTTAAAGTCCTTCCTACCTTTCCTACACAGAGCTGCTGCTGCTCTTCCCAGCCCCCATTTGCTTGTTTATTTAGTTTTTGTCTGTTGGGTGTGGTTTTTTGAGACAGGGTTTCTCTGTATTGTTTTGGAGGCTGTCCTGGAACTCGATCTGTAGACCAGGCTGGCCTCGAACTCACAGAGATCCACCTGCCTCTGCCTCCCAGGTGCTGGGATTAAAGGCATGCGCCACCAACGCCTGGCCCGGGTGTGGTTTTTTTTTCTTTCTTTCTTTCTTTTTTTTAAATGATACACATCTATTCATTTATTTGGTAACAAAACAGGGTTTCTCTGTGTAGCTCTGGCTATCCTGGAACTCATTCTGTAGACCAGCTAGTCCTGAACTTGCTGCTTCCTGCTCAGCCTCCATAGAAACAAATATGCATTATCATATAATATTGTCACAATGTGATTTAACAGAAATAAGCCCATGATAAAACAAGTTCATCAGAAAAAAACAAAAAACCCTCAAGACTCAGAGACATTTGCTCAATGTTACACAACAAATACAGCCACACTCAGGACTGCTGCTGTAGTTACTGAGAAGAGCAGCAGGTTGAGGCCTCTCCTTGGCTCATGTTGCTCATGGCTACTGGAGAGAATAAACTCATAACATGAAAAGCAGATAATCTGCAGATTCTTGAACTACTCATCTCAACCACGTATCAGTTTTGTTTCCTCTGCTTTTATTACAGAACGGGATTAGAACGATATGGGACTGTTCACATTAAGAGTCCTTTATGGTGGGCTGGAGCGATGGCTCAGTGGCAAAGAGCACTGGCTGCTCTTCCAAAGGAACTGGGTTCAATTCCCAGCACCCAATGTGGCAGTTCACACCTGTCTGTAATGCCAATCTAAGGAATCTGACACCCTCACACAGACATACATGCAGGCAAAACACCAACACACACACACACACACACACACAAAGATGTGACTTTAAAAAAGACTTTTAAAATCTCCAAGTTAAAAACTTTTATTTTTTAAGATTTACTTATGTGTATTCATGTTTGCCTGCATGTGTGTATGAACCATATTCGTGCCTAGTGCCAGCAGATATCAGAAAAGAGTGCTCTTCAGTTTCCCCTGGGACTGGGTACGGGGAACTGAACCTGGATCCTCTGAAGAGCGGCGAGCACTCAACCACTGAGCCATCTCTCTAGCTGTATCCCCACCTGTCCAATGCAATTTTTTTCTTTAAACCTGAACTTTGTAGAACCCTGAGATACCTTATGGCTGTAGGCAGGGAAATACCATGTCATCAGTGTTACCGGTTGTGGTCTGGGGTGCCCTGTGAAAGACTGCTGCTGAGTGTAAATCCACATGCAACATAACCAAGCAGCAGAGCATGGGGATGGGCTCTTTGCTTCTTTTTTTTTTTTTTTCTTTTTTGGTTTTTTACGAGACAGGGTTTCTCTGTATTGTTTTGGAGGCTATCGGTCCAGCCCGGCCTCGAACTCACTGAGATCCACCTGCCTCTGCCTCCCGAGTGCTGGGATTAAAGGCGTGCGCCACCAACGCCCAGCGCTCTTTGCTTCTTTATCTGTATTCATTTTCATTTATGCATGTGTGGGTGCCCGCACATCTGTATGTGTGCACAGGTGGCCATGGAGGCCACAACAGATCCCTTGGAACTGGAGTTATAGGAGGAGGTTGTGAGTTGCTGTGATATGGGTGCTGGAAGCTAAGCACAGGTCCTCAGGAAAAGCAACAAGTGCTCTGGCATGCATTCTATTTGCATACAGACACACTCAACTAGGCTTCACCAAGGCTCCTACATTGCTTTCTTAAATGTTCTTTTCTCATTTCAGCCACACACAGCCTCCCTATGATGCCCAGGCTGGACTCAAACTCCTGTGGCTCAAGCCAGCCTCCAACACAGCTGGCACCCATTCCTCAATTCTTGAACCTATCCCAACTTACTTCCTCTTCCGCCTACCATTTCTCCACCAATGCTGGACAGAAGGGTCCGATGCTCAGACAATGTCGGTTTTGTGTCCCACTGACCTTTCTGCAGCACTGCACACAGAGGACCACTTCCTTTATCTTGGAGTTTTTCTATCACTCTAACAAGCTCATGTGGTTTTTGTTTTGTTTTTTAAATTTTCATTATTTTATGTGCATGGGTATTTGTGCCTGATGCCCTTGGAGACCAGAAGAGAGCATCAGATCTCTTGATACTGACATTACAGACAGTTGTGAGTCAATGTGTGGGTGCTGGGAGACCAACCCGGGACCTCTGGAAGAGCAGTTAGTACTCTCAACCATCATCTCTCCAGCCACCAACCCGGGACCTCTGGAAGAGCAGTTAGTACTCTTAACCATCGAGCCATCATCTCTCCAGCCACCAAGCATGTGGTCCTCTTGGGCTGTTGTTGTTTACCTGCTTTTTGGTTTTTCGACACAGGGTTTCCCTAGCTGTCCTGGACTCACTTTGTAGACCAGGTTGGCCTCAAAGTCTCAGAGATCCACCTGCCTCTGCCTCCCAAGTGCTGAGATGAAAGGCGTGCCACACTATGCCTGGCTAGCATGTGTTTTTTGTTTGTTTTTAGTTAAAACTCATTTAGAACCAGGTATGCAAGTGCACACCTTTGATCCTGGCATTCCAGGTGCACAGGAAGATGGATCTCTATGAATTCAAGGCCAGTCTGGTCTACGTAGCAAGTTCCAGACCAGCCAAGGATATATCTAGAGACCTTGTCTCAAAAACCAAACGATCACTGGGTGTAGGATTAGTTCAGCTTCAAGTCTTCCCAAAGTCCTAACCATCCTCCCAGGGAGACCTAGCTTTCCCACTTTCACTCCTGTCACCCCCACCCCCCGACTCGTTCTAGTTCTTTACAATGACTTCCCTGCCGTCCTGTGTTAGGAGTATTCCTACTTCAGATCTTCACACTGTCACCATAGTCTTTTCTCACGCTAACCTCTCCCCCAATTCAAAACACCATCATCCTCTGCCTCCTGTATATTCGTCCCTGGCTGGTATTTCTTTAAACATACTGTATACCACTACTGATATATATGCACTAGGCTGTCCACAACAAGTTTTATATCTGTTCCCTAACAATTACTAATATATAAAAAAGGCACCCAATAAGCTGGGTGAATACATGAATTTGTATTCTAATCACTGAAGAGATAGATGCTCTTAGAAAAAAAAAAGCTAAACACTTACCTGCTCCCCTACTAGGAGGGTCTCGGGCTGGGGGAGGTGGCCTGTTACTCAACAAAAAGGGGGAGGCTGAGGTGGGTGGAGGAGGTGCAAGGCCTCTGACAGGCCCTGGTGTCTTCCTATGCAAAGAATTGTGTCTTTGTGGCAGCTCAGGGGCTGACTCATTAGTGGGGCTTGAGGGCCCATTAGGGACTCCAGGCGGCTGGCGGTAAGGCGGTGGGGGAGGAGCCAGAGATTGGCCACTTGGTCCCGATCTGATATTCACAGGAGAAGGTGGTGGTTTTACAGGAGGTGGAGCAGGATGTCCTTCTCGACTGGGGTGTAGCCTTTGTCCAGGTGTTGGAGGCAAGGGTTTCTCCCTGTTGTAGGCCTGGGCTTTGCTGTTGTGTAGAGGCAGAGGAGTAGGGGGCGCGTTAGCACGCCGCCCTGGAGGTGGTGGGGGAGGAGCAGAGGAGCTGTGTTTCATGCCTGTACCGCTAGTGGTATTGGGTCGAGAGAGGTCCGGTAAAGAGGGTCTCTGCATCCGGGGCAGTTCTGGGAGGGAGGCTCGGCTGCTGTCGCTATCATCTTGAGGACGCCCACTGGCTGTAGAAACTGGAGGCCTTGGAGCAGCAGCTCGAGAACTGGGGACTTGCAGGGCTGGCTTACCAGCTAAAGTCTCTACAAACACACCAGACAACACTGTGTTAACAGTTAAGTGTGTACTGGTCAGGTCTCTGCTCAACCCGGCCTCCTCAGTGCACCCTGCACAACAGCTGAGAAAGTCCGGGCAGTTCCTGGGTTTGTTTGCCTTCCTGTGGCCCTGGGATCAAGCATGCAAAGCACTTGCTCTACTACTGAGCTACATTGCCAGGCTTAGTTCTGAGTTTTCATCAGGTTTCTAGACTCAGGGCCTGTTGACATAAGCTGGACACATTTGAACTGAATTATGTTTATTTATTTTACTTTTTTTGGGGGGTGCCTACGTAGCCCTGGCTGTCCTGGAACTCCTTTGTAGAGGAGTGCGCTTGGGACTGAACTCAGGTCTTCACATACACTAGCAAGCCTTCAATTCACTGAGCTATAACCCAGCACTTAAAATCTTTTTTGTTTCTTTAAGGCAGGCTCTCATTCTTGTGGTTCAGTCTGGCTTCAAACTTGTGATTTTCCTGCCTCAGCCCTGCAAGTGGGTCAGCACTCACGAGCTACTACAGCACTTACATTTTCTTTGCCTAAGCTAAACACATTTTTATTTACCCTCAGCTTTGCAACTATTCTTGATTCTCCTTTCTCCCACCCTCAACCCCAGTTTCCAACCTAAGACAGCATACTTGAAGCAAGTGAAAAAAAGCAGACACGGTTGGGAGATACCTGAAGCATCCTTGGCTCCCACAGGCCGCAGCTTCGGCACTCCTCCTTGAAAGAGACCTCCCTTGGGCTGCAAAGCAGCAGCTCCAGGGCCATAGCCACCACCACTCCCTTTGGGCTCTGGAAGGCATAAGGAAGGTTTTCATTTCCCATGCTCTGAGCTGCTGACCAAGTCAAACCTGAGAAATGATTCCTCTCTAATTACAAGTTTGCTTTTGCCTTTCTATCAAGAAGCGGCAGCAACACTACCACCAAAACAAATCCAAGAACCTAGGCCTTGCAGCTGAACACCTTCGTGCAAAGATTATTACAAAAACCAAGCAAATTAAAGGGACAAAGGGCAGGAGGAGCCATTTTAATTTATTGAAATATATATGTTTGACAGCGTTCTCTGGGCTCTCTTCCCCATAAGGCTAGTGGCTCAGGGGGAGGAATGTGAACAAACTTTCCTGAGACCTACAAGAATGGGCACATACAGCAACAATAGAGCCATCCTTGATTTCAGACACTTCTAGGAATATGGTGGTCTCCTGAGAGAATAGCCAAACGTGTGCCCCGAAAAACACTACCAGCAGCAAGGGAGGAATTATAACCCTGGAAAGAGTTAGGGAGAACCTTTGTGACCTTCAACTCCACAGCGGGAAGGAAAGTCAAGATATCCAGGACACATTCAAGACACTATAAGAAACTGGATGGTCCAGAGGTCTTCTAATCCTGGACCCTGACTCTACCCTAGGACAAAAGCTTATACTCACTCTCAATGACAGGAGCACTCCGATCATTAATGTTGGTCACCTTCTTCAGTTTGGTCCCTTTGCAAATGTCTTGTAAGAGAGCCCCTCGGTTCCGCTGCTCATCTCTACTGAGTTTGGGCTGTTCTGTGTTTGCCTGGAGGAAGAAGGAAATGTGTAAGTCTACCCCAAAGAGTTCCTTTCATCACAAGCTTGGAATAAATGACTTAAGTCAAGGGATCCATAAGGTGCCTCAGCACACATTCAAATATATGTGCCAAGTGCACCACCATTCTTTGATGTCCCCGCTTCCTTCTATGAAGGACATAGAATGCCCTCCTAGTCGCAAGCTTCTGAGAGGAGGGCAAGACTAACCGTGAATTTGTGTCTTGGACATACTCACATGGCACCATCAGCAGCACAAGGTTTTACTGGGCACCTACTATGCCTCAGGCATTGTGCTAAGTATTACTTAGATTACCTCATTTAAAACCTGAAACACTCCTACAGAAAGGTATGATTATCATTATCCACATTTGAAAAGTGTGGATCAGATACTGAACAGTTTCTGATGGTCATGCAATTAGTAATTGGTCAAACAAGAATGCACACCCCAACGCTGACTCTGCAGAATCTTATCCCAGTGTAACCTGCTACCTTACTATTTCTTTGTCTTCTACAATGTTATACAGTAGACCTTGATAGTCCTACTCCAAAACTGAGGAAATAACATTCTAGAAAATTAAGGGCACATGACTAGCAGACACTGGAACATTTTTTTTGTGTGTTTGTTTTGTTTTTTGAGACAGGGTTTGTCTGTGGCTTTGGAGCCTGTCCTGGAACTCACTCTGTAGACCAGGCTGGTCTTGAAGTCAGAGATCCACCTGCCTCTGCTTCCTGAGTGCTGGGATTAAAGTTATGCTTGGAGTTGGAAAGATGGCTCAGTGGGCCGGGTGGTGGTGGCCCATGCCCTTAATCCCAGCACTCGAGAGGCAGAGGCAGGCGGATCTCTGTGAGTACTAGACCAGCCTGATCTACAAGAGCTAGTTCCAGGACAACCTCCAAAGCTACAGAAAAACCCTGTCTCGAAAAACGGAATAAAAAAAAAAAAAAAAAAAGATGGCTCAGTGGTGAAAAGTGGCCACTGCTCTTGCAGAGGAATCCCAGCACCCACATGCAGCTAACAACTGTCTATAATTCCAGTTCCGGGGGAATCCAAAGCCTCAGACGTCTGCAGGCAATTGCACTCATGTGCACATACCCAAACATAAACACATAATTAAAAAATTTAAAAGTCCTTTTAAAACAGACTTATTTAAGCTGGGCGTTGATGGCACATGCCTTTATTCCCAGCACTCAGGAGGCAGAGGCAGGTGGATCTCTGTGAGTTCGAGGCCAGCCTGGTCTACAGAGCGAGTTCCAGGACAGTCTCCAAGACAACACAGAGAAACCCTGTCTCAAAAAACCAAAAAAAAAAAAGACTTTATTTTTATTTAATGTATATGAGTGTTTTACCTTTATATACGTGCATTACTTGTATATCTGGCACTCAAGGAGGTAAAAACGGGTATCAGATCCCTTGAAACTAGGGTTTTAAGTGGTTAGGAGTCACCATGTAGTTGCTAGAAACTGAATCCAGGTCCTCTGCAAGAGCAGCAAAGTGTTGCTCTTAACTTCTGAGTCCTCTGCTTGTTTCTGCCTCTCCAGTGGTGGAATTAAAGGTATGCCCCACCACACCCTACTTTTTTTCTTTCTTGATAGAGTATAAAACATGACAGACTTGGTTTTAAAATGGTCTGGAGGGGCTGGAGAGATGGTTCAATGGTTAAGAGCACTGACTGCTCTCCCAGAGGATCTGGGTTCCATTCCCAGCACCCACATGGCAGCTCACAACTGTGTGTAACTCCAGTTCTAGGGGACCCCACACACATGGCAAAACACCAGTGCACATAAAATAAAAATAAATTAATAAAGTGAACTGGAGCTGGAAAAAGAGCACTTGCTGCAGTTCCAGAGGACCCGGGTTCAATCTTTGCCCCCACATGGCAGTTCATTGTCTACAATTCCAGTTCTAAGGGATCTGATAGTTCTTCTGGCCTCTGAGGAACAGGAACTCACAGGGTACACAGATACATGCAAGCAAAACACCCATACACATAAAATAAAACAGTAACAAAAAGTTAATGAACTGACTGGGAGTAGGAGAGGAAATGAAATAGCAGCAGGAAACTACCACCTCAAATCCTCAGCCCATCGCTCAAGGATATTAGAGAAATGAGACTAACCTATTTGTAGGACAGGTCACTTAGGTAGAAACACTAGCTCCATGTATCCAAATCTTCATTTGGAATGAAGCAGAACAGGGAACAAAACATGTCGGTATGGTCCTCTGAGGACCTCTCAGAAGTTCAAACTAACTGAGGCACAGGCTTCTGTGTTCTCTGTCTGCTTCACTGCCTGCAGTTAAGTCTGCCTCCTAAATATCTGCAAGAATCCAGGGTGCAGCTGGGCAGCTGCTCAGGCATACAATCAGAAGGCAGGCAGAAGGCAGAAAAAGAAGGATCACAGCCGGTGGTGGCGGCTCACGCCTTTTTAATCCCGGCACTCAGGAGGCAGAGGCAGGCGGATCTCTGTGAGTTCAAGACCAGCCTGATCTACAAGAGCTAGTTCTAGGACAGCCCCCAAAGCCACAGAGAAACCCTGTCTTGAAAAACCAAAAAAAAAAAAAAAAAAAAAAAAAAGGATCACACTGCAAGTTAGAGGTCAGTCTGATCTACATAGGAAGCTTCCAGCTAGTCACACAGCGAGACCCTGTCCTCAAAATGCTAAAGTTCAAATATATATTAAAACTATAGATGGCATTTAAAACAATTAGTGGGCATGGTTATCTCATATCTGTAATCCCAGCACTTGGGAGAATGAGGCAAGAGAACCTGAAGTTTAAGGCCAGCCTGGACCACAGAGCAAGATCCCGCTACAAACAAAAACAAACAAAACCACAAGAGGGGTGGGTGTTGGAGAGCTGGCTCAGTGGTTAAGAGCATTTGCTGCTCTTTCAGACGACCCAGGTTCAGTTCCCAGCACCACGTCTGGCCAGACAGCAGCTTCTAACTCTAGTTCTAGAGGATCTTGAAGCCCTCTCCTGCCTTCTGGGGTACCAGGCATGATGTGCTGTACATGCACACATGCAGGCATACATGTACGTAAATATAAGAGATTAAAAATGGAACTACAGAAATTTTAAAGGATTGAAAAGAAAAAAAAAACAGTATGAGAAGTCTACCAATTTACTTAAAGGTTTGAAGATAGCCTAGCAAGATTACCTACCTGATTAAAAGTGGGAGGTGGGGGAGGACCAGGAGGGGGTGGGGGAGGAGGAGGAATTGGCATCCTTGCCCGCTCCCAGTTGGCACTGTTCTCTCTCCGTCTTTATTTGTAGCTTTAGGTCATTCATACACCTGTAAACAAAACCAAAGTCAAAAGAACGGCTCTGTAATTAGAGGCTCAGCATGCCCAGGTGGTCTAGAGGATTGGACAAGGACCTGAGACCATGAGCACTCCATCCCCTACATAAACACTCTCTGTGAAGCACCAACCTACAGTCTCCTTTTGTACATTATTCTTTGTTTTGCAGAAGTGGGAATCAGACCCAGGGCCTCAAATGGGCTAAGCACAGGCTTCCCCACTGATCTCTGCTCCCAAACCAACTAAAGACAAACAACAAAAAAGTCTTCATATTTTAGAAGTTCTAGGTTCACAGCAGAAGTGAACAGGTACCAAACGTTTCCATGCTTGCATTGCGCCCTACTGTGTGACTGCTGGGTCATGCATGCATCTCGCCCACCCTACTGTGTGACTGCTGGGCCATGCTCTAAGGGTGTGTTTGACTCTTTAAGAAGCTGCCAAACTTCTTCAAAAGTGGCTCTACCCATCTTGGATTTGCCCCAGCAATGAAGAACTGCTGTTGCTCCCATCTCTGCTGCACTCCATGATGTCAGTTTGGAGTCTGGTGACTCTAACTTTGTTTAATTTGCATTTCCCACAGGACCTCATGCTGATTGTGTTCTCCTTGTCACTTGTGTATCTTCTTGGCTGAGATGTCTGTTTAGGTCTTTGGACTTTGGGGGCAATGGTACTAGAACTTGGTAGTATGGTAAGCTCACATTTTACCAAGGAACCATTCACAATTCTAGCCTTCCTTTTCTTTTTATTTTTTTCAATTAGACTTTTCATTCTATTGTTAGATTCAAGAACACTATCTCTAGTGAAACATTTTCTTCCAGCTTGTGGCCTGCTTTCTCATTCTCTTAATTTAATTTGCAGCATTTTAAGAATATAAAATCATTCTGCTTGTTAGGCATTCAAAAACAAGCTGTAGACCAGATTTGACTCATAGGCCAGAGTTCACCTGTACCTAGCAATAGTCACACCCATGGGACTTGATTAGAGAATAAATACCACATGAGAAATTGCCTACTGACTTGGTCCCACAACATCTAGCATTTGAAGCCTTGTGGCTATCTGCACATTGCAATTTGCTTCATGTCAGACATGAAATGAGGGAACTGACTGACAGAGGACACTAACCCAAACAAAGATATAACCAGAGCTCAAGAACAGGAAGTCCTCCAAAGCTTGGTTCCAAGAAAATCTCCTTTCTTGAGCTCTAAAAATGGAAGCCAAATCAGCACAGGCACCCTGAATGCAAACTCACAGACAGAAAGATATAAAGTAAAGGGCTGTAGAGATGGCTCAGCAGTTAGTTAAGAGCACTGACTGCCTTTGCAGCTTCCCCACTAGGCTGCTCACAACAGCCTGGAACTCCAGTTCCAGGGAATTCAATGCCCTCTTCTGGCCTCCACAGGCACCCACACACATGTGGTCCACAGATATACAGAACAAAAGTAAAAATAAATCTTAAAAAAAAAATGAATCGCCGGTTGTTGGTGGCACACACCTTTAACCCAGCACTCGGGAGGCAGAGGCAGGTGGATCTCTGTGAGTTTGAGACCAGCCTGGTCTACAGAGCTAGTTCCAGGACAGCCTCCAAAGCCACAGAGAAACCCTGTCTCAAAAAACAAAAACAAAAACAAAAACAAAACAAAACAGAATCAAAATAAGGTCAATTAGTCAATGTGCAGAGGAACAGCCTTTAAACAAAGCAACTAATGTGATCAGGGTGCAAGGAGATTCTCAGTAGCTCACAGTACAGATGGGAGACTATGTGTACCAAGTCAAGTTAGCATGGCAAGTCACAGGAAGGCCTAGTTTGAACTCCTTACAGGGACATCCATATCCACTGTGAGTAAGAACTAAGTTTAAATAGTCTTTCAATGTCCTGGAATGAAGAAAAGGAGATAGGAGGTATCCAAAGACCAGGAACAGCTGCAAGAGATTAGAACTGATCAGAAACTTGACTGGAAATCTCCAACCCCGACTCCTGCCTGTGTGATACCCAACAGAGCTATCTGCTTCCAAGAGAAAGATCTGAACAGTACCTGGATGGGTAGTTCTCATAGAGGATGACGTCTACACTCCTTCAAAACCAAGCCGTGGAGGTGGTGTGATGGCTCAAAGGTAAGGGCATTTGCCTCCACACTTAATGGTCTGAGTTTAATCCTTAGGGCCAACGAAGTTAAAAAAAAAAAAAAAAAAGGGCTACAACAAGTTGTCCTCCGACTTCCACACACATCCCAGCAGGGTGCTGAGGAGATAGCTCAGCTGGTAATGTGCTCCAACCTCAATCCCCAGAAACAACATTTAAAAAGCTATGTGTGCATTTAGTCAGTCAGTGGTGGCACACACTGGCAACATTCTTTTTTTTTTTTTTTTTTTTTTTTTTTGGTTTTTCGAGACAGGGTTTCTCTGTGGCTTTGGAGGCTGTCCTGGAACTCGCTTGGTAGTCCAGGCTGGTCTGGAACTCACAGAGATCCGCCTGCCTCTGCCTCCCGAGTGCACTGGCAACATTCTTAAGAAAGGACATTCAAGGCTGTCCTTCCACGAGTACAAAAACACTTATGCACGCACATGGACACATACACACATTAGTTAGCTCCCCTCCTAGGGAAAACCATGCCATTTCTGGTTTCAAAGTTGAGTGTGGCAGTCTCCTTTTACTAGAGATCTAACCCTCTAGTAATCTTTTTTTTTTTTAATCAAAATATGCTAGGAGGAGCAATTCGAGGTGCAAAGTCCAATACTTTCAGCCCAGCTACTTGAGAAGCTGAGGTAGGAAAATCACCTAAACCCAGGTAGTCAAGAACAACCTGGGCAAACAAGACCCCATCTCATTCAAAGCCTCCAAACGCTCAGTTACTCAAAGTATTAAATCCTTGTAAGTAGAAACCTTATAGCCAAGGGAATAAACTTAAAAGAAATTTACGAGGTCATCCTCCAAACCAATAGCCAACAGAATGCCAAAGAAGTCTGAATAAAGCAACAGTTTCCCACTCAGCCAATCAGGAGCACAGGCATTTTACTAATCCCACAGACACAACATAATCTCTAACCTTAAGGACCATGGACACTTGGGCACTACTTGGAAGCATTCTAGGGTTAAAAGTCGCCACATGGAATGTGCCTGCCTGTCTATCTGCCCTTTGATATAGCTCCTAAAAGACAATCAAAGTCTGATAGAGTCAGGTGTGCCTTTAAGCTCAGCACTTAGAGTCAGATGGATCTCTAAGTTTGAGACCAGCCTGCTCTGATTAGCAAATTCAGGCCAGACAGAGCTGTATAGTGAAACCATGTCTCAAAAACAAACCAACTACACACAAAAAACCAACAACAAAATAAACCAAAAGAAGAACAACAAAACAGGGAAATCAGGAGTTCCTTAGAAAATTCAGTTCAGTCAAATGTCTGGTAAAATAGATTTGTATCACATGCAGAGATTGAGTTAAAATTTCAACGTGAATCCTAGCACTCAAGAGGCAGAGGCAAGCAGATCTCTCAAGTCCAAGGCCAGACTGATTTACAGAACAAGTTCCAGGACAGCCAGGGCTACCCACAAAACCTGGTCTTGAAAAAAAAAAATCTCAGCCGGGCAGTGGTGGCGCACGCCTTTAATCCTAGCACTCAGGATTTGGTTTTACGAGACAGGGTTTCTCTGTATTGTTTTGGAGGCTGTCGGTCCAGCCCGGCCTTGAACTCACAGAGATCCGCCTACCTCTGCCTCCCGAGTGCTGGGATTAAAGGCGTGCGCCACCACCACCCGGCAACTATATATATATTTTTTTTTTAAATCACATAAATTTAACTGTGTAGCAAACCTGATTGGCCCAGAAAAGTTAAAATCAAATACGAATAAATATTAAACTAAAAGCCTTCAGTCATCTAAAACAATGTATGGGCAGTTTTGTTTTCCATTTGTTTCTTTGTTTAAAACAAAATTCTAGCCAGGAGTGTTGGTGCATACCTTTAATCTCAGCACTCAGAAACAGAGACACACTTCTCTGAGTTACAGGCCAGCCAGTGCTACCACAAGAAATGATAGGTGGATGGATGGGCGAGCAAAGTCTCAAATAGCTGGGGCTGACTCTGAACTCTATGTAGCCAAGGATGATCCTGAATTCTCTTTTTGTTTATTTGTTTTTGTTTTGTTTGAGTCAGCATTTCTCTGTAGTTTTGGAGCCTGGGACTCACTCTGTGGCCTCGAACTCACAGAAATCCACTTTCCATCTCACCAGAGACACTAGCACAGCCCTGAATTCTAACAGTAAATAATAGAATAGTTCAATTTTCATAATTAATATTTCCTTTCCATCCACACCTCCCAGCAACCAGGGTGCTTAGAGATATTGGCAAGAAAAATGGAGTCAGACAGCTAAAATGCATTACCATCAGCCTGCTTTAATACTAGGAAAGGTCAAGATTTAGGATACTGACTGATTTCACTCCTTTATTGAGTTACCTGGATACATTCCAGAGTACAGGGGAAGCACTCTGGGAAGAAAGGAGTTAATCAGATAAAAGACACAAATTCTAAAAATCCAGATGAAAAGACCAAAGCTAGACAGACTGAGGAAAAGCCCATGGAGTTTGCCCTGGAGATGTAAGAGGGCACCGATGTTTACAGAGAACTCTTCTAAAGCAGGGTTTCTGAGCTTACCTGTAATAAGTCACACTTAGGATATCTGTTTCAGAAACAAACTCAAGCCAGGTGGATCTAAGTAAAGGGTCAACCTGGTCTACAGAGTGAGTTCCAGGACAGCCAGGGCTCACAGAGACACCCTGTCTTGAACAACCAAATATATAAATATATTTACTATCGTGTGTGTGCATGCTGTGTCTGTGGGTGCAGGTGTGCCATGGTGTGCATGGTCAGTCAGGTGACAACTCTGTGATGTCAGTTCTCTTCGTTCCCTTTATGTGAGTTCTAGGGACTGAAATATCAGCAAGGGTTTTTTTGGGGTTTTGGGTTTGGTTTTGGTTTTTTTGTACGTGCCCCACCACTATGAAACTCACTATACACACCAGAATGACCTCAAACTCACAGAAATCCATCTGCCTCTGCTTCCTGAGTGCTGGGATTAAAGGCCTGAGTCAGCAAACCTAGCAATAAATACATTTCAAAAAATTATGAAAAGGCCTAAAGGGGCTGAAGAGATAGATGGCTCAGTGATTAAGAGTGCTTGTTTGTTCTTGCAGAGGACCCGAGTTCAACTTCCAGCACCCATATGGTGGTTCAAAACCATCCATAACTGGAGTTCCAGGGGATCTGATACCCTCTTCTGACCTCTAAGGGCATCAGACACCCATGTGGTACACAGACACATGTAAAAGCAAAACACCCATACACATAAATAAACCTAAAAAAAGGGAGGGAAGGGGAGTGGAAAGGAGGAGAAAGGAAGGCAAGGAGGGAGAGAGGGAAGGAGGGGAGTAAAATAAAAAGGGCTGAAGAGATAGCTCAAGAAAGAAAGATGGAAAGAGAATGGAAAGGAAGGGGACAGGTATAAACAAAACTACCTCATAAGAATAATAGCCCCAAATCCCAGCACTCAGGAGGCAGATCTCTGAGTTTGAGGCCAGCCTGGTCTACAGAGCGAGCTCCAGGACATCCAGGGCTACACAAGGAAAGTCAATGTTGAATCTGTTATCAAAGCAAATAAATAGAGTAGAAAATTTTACCCCCTGCCAAACACTGTAAGAGCCGGCAAAGTGGCTCAGCAGGTGAAAGGTGCTTGCCCCTCAAACCCACCAACCTAAACTGGTACCTGGAACCCAAGTAAAGGAGGAAGATAAAAACCTCTCCATAGGCCGGGCGGTGGTGGCACACGCCTTTAATCCTAGCACTCGGGAGGCAGAGGCAGGCGGATCTCTGTGAGTTCGAGGCTGGGCTGGACCGATAGCCTCCAAAACAATACAGAGAAACCCTGTCTCGAAAAACCAAAAAAAAAAAAAAACCTCTCCATAAAGACATCCTCTGACTCCTACACACACACCACAGCATATCACCTGCACATGCTCACCAAGATAAAGAAAGACTAAAAGGACATTAGCACTGTGTCTTGCTTGAAACTCTAATGGAACCAGGCTGTCCATGGTGACCTGGATCTGTGCCATAGTCTGGGTGTAACCACAGGGTGATCAGTGACCTCAGCACTTACTCTATCAAAGGTCAGATATATGAGCCACCTCCAGGACACCAAAAGAAATCATGACCAAACCCACTGTAGTGACACACAGCCATAGTCCAAACTATTCAGACTATTCAGGAGGCTGAAGCAGGAAATGGCTTGAGCCTAAAATTTGGAGCCAGCAAAGACACAGCAAGACTTATGTCTTATAATGTTTGTTTGCTTTTGTTTTTTGAGACAGGGTTTCTCTGTGTAGCCCTAGCTGTCCAGGGACTCACTCTGTAGAACATGCCGGCCTCAAACTCACAGAGATCTACATGCTCTACATGCTCCAGAGTGCTGGGATTAAATGTGTGTGCCACCACAGTCTAATGCCAATTGGATTTTGTTTAATACTAACATTACACTGAAAACAAGACCCAGAAGTCCAGGCCAGCCAAAACACAGGGGGAAAAAATCTATTACAAAAAGAAAGGCAAACACCCAGTCACTGATGGCAAAATAGGCCACTCTTGCTATGAACTAGCCATGCCTCTTATAACTAGCTTCCCATCTTTATCAGAGCATCCTGCATGCACACACCCCAAACATAAAGCAGAAAAGCACATACAGAGAAAGGAAGAAAACCTGATGACGGACTCTAAGAAGTCCTGAAAGACTTAAGCAGATGCTTCATAAAACGCTGGTCACACTTCACACACAGAGAAAGGTGCCATGCCTCATTTCAAACAGAATGTATTAAGTCCCAACTCACCACAGAATCTAATAACAGCTCCAGCACCATGACTTTCCTTGTTGAAGTCTCTTCTCTCACATTCTAATACCCTTGAGCCACCAGAAATGCAGATGCTTCACGCTGAAATGCTAGAAAAACTGGCACATTGTCATTCCTTGATCACCAGCGATAGGCTGCTAAATCAAGACTCTTCTTGAAGTTATGAAAGCAGGGCTAGCTGCTCCAATTACATAAGAAAAGTGCTCAATCAAACAGGACCATCTGGGCTTTGAATGCTGTGATTTCTGAACAAAAGTCAGCACACTTGCAGATACAAATGCTCTTCCACTGTTAGAACAGTCCCGGATAAGAACGCTTTCATACATCCCCAGGTCATGACAGCCATCCCCTCAGGGGACTCATTCACTTGCATGTCCAGCAAGACTTATGTGTCCTGTGCAGAAATACAACCCAGATGACCAGATGACAGAACACTATTCACAGCAGTTCATAGGAACATCTGTATTCTCTTCTTGGCCCCAGGAAGACTCCCAAAAGCTGTCAAAACTCCCTACAAGTACAGACCTTTTGTCTCCTCAGTAGCAAATTAAAAATCCCATCGTCCCCCACAATCTAAGGACCATACCCCAGTAATCTTAAAATCTAATCCAGCCAACCAGGCTTAATTTACAAAACCTGGGGAAAGTTGAGACTAAAGAAACAGGTTTCATTAAGGAAAATTCTGGTGGAAAACGAGATCCAACATTAGGATATGCAGACAATGTGTCAGCCCCCACAGAGGCAAACTAGCAGTGCAGAAGTCACCTGTAAGTTTCCTCATGTTGACTGTAGAATGTGGTCTTCAGTATCACAAGCATTAACTAGACAGAGAGTAACTGAAGTACTGCTTGATCTCCAGGAAAGCCCACATCCTCTTGCCTCTGACCTGTCCACTTCTCACGGGGCACTAGCTACGAGGGCCATCCTTCCTCAAGACATATTCCTTCCTTAGGACCTTCCCCTAAATCACCCTCCTCACCCTCCCCTGACTGCCCTCTGCTCAATCAACCTGGGCTCCCCAACAGCTGCCTGCACAAGAACAACAGTACCAGTTAATCATTTCTTTAATGGAGGTCTTTCCCACTAGACCCTAACTGTCACAAAGGCAAAAACTCAGCCAGTTTGTTCTATCTTAACATCCAGCACAGTGCCTGGCACACATTAGGGGAGAACATCTTTATTTTTCATGAGCTTCAGAATTATTTCAAAGGAAAACATTTTAAAAAGGGAGGAGGGGGAGACAGCTGGAGAGATGGCTCAGCGGTTAAAAGTACTGACTGCTCTTCCAAAGGGCCGGGGTCCAATTCCCAGCACCCACATGGTGGCTTACAACTATCTGTAGCTTTAGTTTAGGGGACCAGATATTCATACAGGCAAAACACCAATGTACATAAAAAAAAAAGCTGAGCATAGTGGTATATACTTAAGGGCAGCCTGGGCTACAGACCCTGCTTAGAGAAGACAGAGCAAGGGGCTAGAGAGATGGTTGAGATGGTTCCACTGTTCACTTGTTATCTTCCCACATGACCCACCAGCTGGCTCACAACCAACCACCTGTAACCCCAGCTCTATGGAATCTGACAACATCTTAGCTCCTCCACAGGCATGCGTGAGCAATCATGTACACACATGTAATTAATTTTTAATGAGATAAGGGTTGGGCTATATAGTTCAATTGGTAGAAAAAGGAGACCGAGCAAAAAACTCTAAAACCAACTTCAAAAGGTCAAAACATTGTGGCAATTTTTGTGGCATAATTTGTAAAAGAGGGAAAAGTTTGAATCTGTATCAGAATAGGGCAAATCTATTTATCACTAATGGGGAATAATGACCAAAATGCATTAAAAACAAAAGATACATGCTCAATTGGGCAGCACACATACTAAAATTGGACCGATACAGAGAAGATTAGTACGGCCCCGGCACAAGGATGACAAGCAAATTCGTGAAGTGTTCCATGTGTTAAAAACAAGAACAAAAACAAAAAGCAAAACATACAGGTAGTATTATCAGTGTGTGCTACACTGGTTTTACGGCAGCCTTGGGCTGCAGAGAAGGCTCAGCCATTGAGAGCACACAGTGTTCTTGCAAGAAAACCTGAATTTGATTCCCAGCACCCATGTCAGACAGTTCACAGCCCTGTAAAGATGGAACGGGTGAAGTGGGCTAAAGGCAAACCAAAGGGAAAGGATATTATATACCCTGGCCCTATGCCAATGCTGGGAATGGGACTCAGGACCTCCTTGCACTTGTTAGGCAATTGTCCTACCTCAGAGCTGCACACAGCTTTTGAGTCTTGCTGTACAGCTCAAGCTAACCTTGAACACATGCTAGCACACACTGGGCTGTGATGAAACACCCCTTTAATCCCAGTGCTCAGGAGGCAGAAGCAGGTAAATCTCTAAGTTCAAGACCAGTCTAGTCTACAGAGCAACTTCTGGGACAGTCAAGGCTAATACAGTGAAACCCTGCCTCAAAATAAATAAATAAATAGATAGATAAATAAATAAAAAGTTGTGTGTGTCTATTTGAGTGCATGCCCCCTATATTGGTACCCACAATATCCAGAAGGTGTGGCTGGATCCCCTGGATCTGGAGTAAGTCAGTTGTGAGCGACACTGGATAGTGTTAGAAACTTGAAACCTGGAAAGGGCTACAGAGTGAGACCTTAAGGGGGTCAGTGAAGTGACTAAGCAGTGTATGATCTTCAACGATGCAAGCCCAATGACCTGAGTTCAATACTTGGAGCCCACATAAATGTAGGAGAAAACTGAATCCATAAATTTGTCCTCTGACCTCCACAAAGAGTGGCATGCACACCCTTAGCCCTTCAACACACACACATACACACCATGCATACATACAATAATAATAAATAAATTTTTTTGTTTGTTTTTTCAAGACAGAGATTCTCTGTGTAGCAGTCCTGGCTGTCCTGTAACTAGCTTTGTAGACTAGGCTGGCCTCGAACTCACAGAGATCCATCTGCCTCTGCCTCCTGAGTGCTGTGATTAAAGGCGTGTGCCACCATCACCCAGCAATAAATAATACTCTAGACTAATAATGTGAAGAAAAGTCTGGATTCAAAGTCAAAAGGAAAATTCATTTTGGGGTTACCTCTAACACTACGGGGCTACTGCCATACAGTCAAGAAAATATCTTCATAGATCACCCCAAGATCAACAGAGAGAACATCATCTTCAACTACCTAACCTCCTGAAGAACAAACAGTCAGATAGCCTGAAAGTCAGGTAGCCAAGCCCTGGCTCAGTTATCTGATAACCTATGTGCCTACAAGCCAAAACTCCCAAGTTATTAAAATTGACTTAGATATTAACACACCTATCAACATTTTTTTCTCTCTCTTACAACATCATTAAGTTCTTTAGATTTCATCCCCTTTGGGTTCTAAGACGTGGTCTTACTCTATAGCCCAGGCTGGCCCCAAACTCACAGAGAGCCACCTGCCTCTGCCTCCCAAGTGCTGGGACTACAGGCATGAGTCACATCTGGCTTGTATTTCACATTTCTCAATGTCTTTGTTGTTGTTGTTTTTGTTTTTCAAGACAGAGTTTCTCTGTGTAGTCCTGGCTGTACTGGCTCAAACTGGCCTCCAACTCAGAGATTCGCCTGTCTCTGAGTTTTGGGATTGAAGGTGTGCAACGTCTTTAATATCTTGCCATAGATAATGCCAGTAAACACTTGCTGGGGCTGGAGGGGTAGCTCAGTGCTAGAGCACTTGCCTAGCACACATGAAGCCCTAGATTCAATGCCAACCACTGGTGAAAGAAAAAAAAAAAAAGGAAAGGAAAGGTTGACATGTTCCAAACTTTAGCCTATGAGGCTCTTCCAGCTCCAAGACTGGGGAGTGAGAACACAGGAAAGCTTGAGACACTGTCTTCCTCAATGCCCTGGCCTTGCCAAGTTAGGCAAATGCAATGATTCTGCATTTAACCACCAGATAAATGAGAATTAGATTTGAAATCGCCCAAACATTCAGTGAAGAGTGCTGCTCCCGAGATCCACAGTGGACTTCATGTTGACCCGGAACGCCCCATGCACTCTAATCCAAGGCATATATCCGAAAGAGACAGTCAATCAACCAGAGCTCTGGCAGCCTCTGCTTGGGAGCTGTGTGAAGAACAGTTAACAAGAGCTTACTTTGAGAAAGAGATCAACAATCACACTCTTAAAGAAAAGAAGTTATTTGGCAAAGGGATGCATGTTGCCAAAATGTTAGTCACAGCTTCAAGGTCCCAGTTTGTGTCTCTGCAACTATTCTTTGCTTTGACAGAGTCCATTCTCTGGCTCAAGAAACCCAGCTCGGCTTCTGTCACTCTCCGCTTTTGAAGCAGTCAAGAATCCTTTCATTTTGGTGGCATCAAGCTGTGACAAAGACAGGATGCCCACCAGAGAAGGGGGAGGGTGATCTGCCACTTTCCATTTAGGACTAGTTGAAGCAGAGCAACAGGAAAAAGTGACAGGATAGGAAAAACTGAAAATCACTGTGCTAAAGAAACAGGTCACTGCAGCAGCTCTGAGCTTCTGTAAGTTACACCAAAACCCTCTTAAGAATAAACCAAAAAAGTCAGTGCATAGTGGCGCTGACCTTCAATCCTACCTTGGGAGGCAGAGGCAGGCGGATCTCTGGGAGTTTGAGGTCACCCTGGTCTATAGAGCAAGTTCTAGGACAGCCAGGACTACACAAGGAAACTCTGTCTCAAGAAAACAAACAAACAAACAAACAAACGAACACCCAGTAGCACACTATTACACAGGTTTTTATCTCCAAATATGTGAACATACTTCACGCCTGCAGCTCTTCCTGGAATTGGTATGAAGAGTAAGGTTTGCTAGAACAGCCTGAACTAACAGCCCATGAACTTCAGAATTACTTGAGGGCAACAGGAAAAACACAAGTGTGCCAGGAAGCAGTTCAGAAGCTAAAGTCAAGCAAGAACATGTGATGGTATTCCCTGCAACAGAACAGGACCCCTTTTCTTAAACTCCACAGCTACACTCTTCCCAATACCCTCCCCCCTCCCCTGACTCTCCCCCCTTTCGTCCACATCACTGGTCAGCACCACCTCATGTAAACACCATTTCTGATATCAAGAGTGAGACAGAATTAAAACTGCCAAGTCTTTGGCGAATCCACATCAGACCTCAGAAATGCCAAGACTCTCAGAAACACTTATAGGCTGAACAAGTTCACTTACCAGCTAAGTGTTCAAGGTAGTACAGCCAAAGAAAGAGCTAAAACAGAATGCCAAAGAAGCCATGGCACCTAGCCCTGTCCACAGTATGGTCTCTACCCTCTGACAGCAAGGCCCACATACGGCTCACCTCTCTAAAATACTCAGGCACTTAGAAAGTAAAACACTGCACTCTCAAAGTCACTGACAGCTGAACTCATTCACTTCCGACTCTAAGGTCTGTATCTTCCTCTTGGTGATAACCGACCCAATAACACAAAAATCCTGACTATTAAAATATTAATATATAGGAAGATATCAGAAGACTAAGGATTATATATTAAAATGCATGGAGATGCTAGGCAGTGGTGGCACACATCTGTAATCCCAGCACTTAGGAGGCAAAGGCAGGTGCCTCTGTGAGTTCAAGGTCAGTCTGATCTACAGAGAAAGTTCCAGTACAGCCAAAGCAACACAAAGAAACCCCGTTCCTCCCCCCCAAAAAAACACTAAATAGCAGTATCTCGATTCTGTTTTTCTTTACAGTGACTTCAAAAACCAAATTGGTTAATACAAGCTTCTAGGGGAACAGATGAGTCAGACCTATATTACAGAGGGAGAGAATAAGAGTTTAATGATGTTACATGTAAATCTATACAGGAGCTAGAGGACTTCTTATTCCCTAAAATTCTCTTCTGATTCATAAAAAGATGAAAGAGTAGCCAAAAACACGTAACAAGTCAGAAGACAGAACTCTAAAGCAATAGTACTAGCATAAAAAAAGGAATGGGTCTAGGGAGAGATCAACCTAGTACTATTCAAGTCACTTTAAAAATATGAGTTCTGCCGGGCGTTGGTGGCCCACGCCTTTATTCCCAGCACTCGGGAGGCAGAGGCAGGAGGATCTCTGTGAGTTCAAGGCCAGCCTGCTCTACAGAGCAGCCTTCAAAACAATACAGAGGAGCCCTGTCTCGAAAAACCAAAAAAAAAAAAAAAAAAAAAAAAAAAAAAGAGTTCTGGTTGGGCGGTGATGGCACATGCCTTTAATACCAACATTCGGGAGTTCGAGGCCATCCTGGTCTACAGAGTGAGTTCCAGGACAACCAGAAAACCCTGTCTGGAAAACAACAACAAAGAATTAAAGGGTTCAGGTGCAGCATAGAGGTAGAGCCCTTGCCCAGCATACAGGTGGATCAGGATTCAATACCCAGCAAGGGGGTGGAAGGCAGATTCCAGTACCCACCATCTTCCTTCAGCTTCTCGTTCCAATACTATCCTTCCAGAAAATGCCTTCCTAATCATTCCTAATCAGTAACTCAACCGCACATGCAGCCTACGTTTAGCACCTTCAGATTTCCACAGTCCCTCATATCACACCGCTCCAAAAGGCGCCTCCAACTCCAAACGCATCTGAGACATCTCTCCGACTCCCTCTCACCCAACACTCTCAAGATTTCCTTCAATGTAAACAGCTTCCCTCCCAGCCATTCCTTTTCACCTAAATCAATTCCGAAATGTCACATCGGCCTGCTCAACTGAGAGCAGCATCCTGCTAATAATTACCTTTCCCAACAGGTCCTCCCTCCCTTCCCCATCTCCCCCTCTGCACACGGTTCCCCTCCTTCCTCACCCAGAGTTGCCGTCTTACTCACCTCACCCAACCCTTCAGGATCTCTAATTTCCTGTCTCTCAAAAACCTCCCTCCTGCCCATTTGCACAGTCCGCACCGGCGGCACACCACCGCCCTCCACTCGGATGGCCCACGCCCCCTCTCCAGGGTCTTCAGGCCCCGCCCCCAAGCCCCCTCTGGGCCTCGGCCCCTCCTCCGGCGTCCCCTCCCCCCAGGACCCCTCCCCGGCTCTCCCTCCCACTCAGGTCCGCGGGTCACTTCAGCTGCGGGCTCAGCCGCCCCGGCGTCTCTCCTACCTGGCCGGGGCTGCTCCGGGAGCGAATCCTCCGTCACCTGCGTCCTGCTTTAGTCCTGCTCCTTCGCCCCGCGGCAAGCTCTCTTTCTCGCCGCCGCCCCTTTTACCAACCCGGAAATGGATCTGCTCCCACCGTCCCCAGCGTCCGCGAACAAAATGGAGGCGGGGGAAAAAGGAGGAGGCAGCCGGGAGCCCAGAGACGCAGGGCGCATGCGCCTGGCGAAGCCTGCCCTCTGCCGGCGCACGTGGGGGCGGAGCGCCACCATCTTGAGAAGGTCGCAAGACGAGCTTCGCAGTTAAAAGCCGGGTCTGCATCTTGGGCTGCAGTTGGGACCGCCTGCGAGGTTCTCAATGATTAGTGATGCTAGGGTTCAGCCCACGAGATGCTTTTTTTTTTGGTCAAATTCGGTCTCAGCATCTAGATCTTTAAAATTGCGCAGATGATTTTAACTTTCGGTCATCGTAGAGAATGGCTGAGCTAACCACTGTTTCTTAAGTATAGGGTTTTTTCCCGTGTTTATTCCACTGCGCGCGCGAACACACATACTCACAGACGTGCGCATGCACATACCCACAAGCCCTTGTATGGTCTAGAGTTAAGGAAGAACACTGACTCCGCTACCCTTGCAGGGGCCCAGTAGACAAGCTCCGGTTGTCATAGCAACAGAGAGGCAAGCGGCTGCTTACAGGTCTTCGGTTAGGTCACCCTAACCACCGAACCCAAACACCCTTCATAGCAGAGGGATCCCCATCTCACCAGGCTGAGAGATGGTGTTGTGAACTCCTCTGGGTGTTTGGATGAGAGGGACAAATCCTCGTCCATTGCTGGCCTTAACTGCTAACTCTGTTGCAATTGACTAAGGATCTCTTCACACACACAAAAGCTTGTCACCACTCCAGGCAACCCCATTGCTTCCATATGTCTCACTGCTCCTCAGGTCAACCCAATGACCAGGGCTGAAACTCAAGTAAAAGAGCAGTATCGGGGCTTAATCCCCACTAAGTGGCTGTGCGCTACCTCAGAGTGTTTGTCCTTTCTAATAGAGTCCTTGAAGGTTCATTAGGTAACAAATGGTTAAGCATATGATAGATAAGTCATACGCTGTTATTATTTTTGTTTTCCCTCTGTTCTGCCTTAAGTACCGGGCCCCACCCACTAGTCGAGTAAATGTCACACTGAGTACCTGCTATGAGCCAATCACTAGACTAGATACCAGGAGATGTTTCCAGAGGTGACTAAGACAAAGCTGCTGCCTTCTGGGACCCCACCACGCTGATGTGCAGACTGGCATGTAAACAGCTGGCTGAGAGCCAAGTCAGCCTGTGATGAGTGTTGTGGTCACATGTGTGCAGGGATGTCATAGGAGTGATTAATTCTCGCTGAAGAATGGGAGATTTTATCAATGGTTTGAACTAGTCCTTGAACGATGAGTAGAATTATGCCTGATGTAGTGGTGCTCAGGAGGTAGAGGCAGGTGGATCTCTGTGAGTTCGAGGCCAGCCTGGTCTACAGAGCAAGATCCAGGACAGCCAGGGCTACACGGAGAAACCTTGCCTCAGAAAACCAAAAAGAAAAAAGAAGGATGAGTAGAATCCCATCACCAATCGGCAAAGGCAGACACACGTGCCAGGCAGGGTCTGTGGGCACAAAGGTGAGCGTGTACTGGTAGCTACTCCTGAGACTGGAAGTGGGGTGGCTGGGACCATGGGGCAGAGGACCTCGACTGTTTACCAGCCCTTCCTAGCTCTCTGCCTCGTGGTTTTACCTATCTCGTCCCCTGTGGCTCAACAGTATGTGGACCTACTCCTCAGCCCCCACCTCAAGGCCTTTGAGCAGGTCATCGTCGTCTTATCTTCATTGTTCAACGCCCCCTTCATTTGCCTCAATGCCCCCTCTCCAGAGGGTGTTCTCTGCCCAGGACAGCTAGAGTAAGCCCCTGCTCTCATTACACCACTCTGTGTCAAGAGCAGCCGCGAGGGGAACACAGGGACATCTCACTTGGGGACATGTCAATAATCTTTAGGAAGAAAGAAACCCAGAGGCTATGTCTCATTTTCTACATGAAGTCCGTAGGAATGGGCCAGGGTTGGAAGGAAAAGAGAACACTCCAGGAAAAAAAATTTTGTTCAAAGCAAAAAGAATTGTTTTTTTTTTTTCCTTTCTTGAGACAGAGTTTCTCTGTGTAGCAGCCCTGGCTGTCCTGGAGCTCACTCGGTGTGGCCACCACACCGAGCCAATTTGCTAATTTTTTATTTACTGTATATAGGGGCCACACCACAGGACACACGTGGAGGTCAAAGGACAATTTGCAAGGACTGATTCTCTCCCCCATCATGTGGATGCTTGGAACCAAACTCAAGTTGGATGGCAAGTGCCTGGACACCAAGCCATCTCTCCAGATTCTCCCTTCCACAAGAAATACTTAGATGTAGCTAGAGCTAGAACTTAGAGAGAAAGAAAGTAGGTTTTAAATGGTAATTGAGGGCCAGGAGGAGTGACCTCCCATTTGGGATGCAGAGGCAGGCCTGTCTCTTGTCACTTGCAAGTCAGCACTGGGTACTTGTGAGTTCTAGGCCAGCCAAGGATATACAAGGAGACCCCATCTCAGACAAGAAGACATGAAAGGAGGAGGCAATATGTGGAGCAGAAGAGTTCCAGAGGAGGTAGAAGGGGATAAAAGAGGGGAACAGGGGTGACTCTGGTCAGTGTATTATACAGATGTATGAAACTGTCAAAAAACAAATACTTTAAAAGAGAAACTGTGGGGCTGGGGAGATAGCTCAGGAGTTAAGAGCACTGGCTGCTCTTCCAAAGGTCCTGAGTTCAATTCCCAGTAACCACATGGTGGCTCACAACCATCTATAATGAGAACTGGTGTACTCTTCTGGCCTAAAGGCAGACATACAGACAGAACACTGATATAAAGTTTTTGGGTTTTTTTTTTTCAGTTTTTCGAGACAGTGTTTCTCTGTGTAGCTTTGGAGGCTGTCCTGGAACTCGCTCTGTAGACAAGGCTGGCCTTGAACTCACAGAGATCCACCTGCCTCTGCCTCCCCAGTTCTGGGATTAAGGCATGAGCCACCAATGCTATATATAAAGTTTTGATATTTAATCCTCACAGTTTTCTCAAGTAGGTAATAGTGTTCCCATTTCACAGGTAAGGAAATAAGAGACACAAAGCTTAACCATCTACTCAAGTCACCTACCTAACAAAGTAGCAGACATGTCTTCAGATTTTGTGCTGTCAGTGCTCACACCAGTGACTCTGTACTCCTTTTTGTGAATGAGTGGTTTTTATGTGTATGAGTGTTTTGCCTGCACATGTGTGCAATACAAGTCCTAGTACCCTTGGAATCAGAAGAAGGCATTGGATCCCATAGAACTGAAGTTGCAGATGTCTGTGAGCCACTATGTGGGTGCTAGGAATCAAACCTGTGTCCTCCATAAGGGCAATAAGTATTCAAAACTGCTGAGCCATCTCTCCAGACCCATAATTGTAGTTTTATTATTTATTTATGCATTTATTAATTTGTTTATTTATTTGGAGGCAAGGTCTCACCATGTAGCGCTGGCTGTCCTGGAACTCACTATATAGACCAGGCTGGACTCAAAGTCATAGAGATCTGCCTGCCTCTGCCTCCCAAGTGCCACGATTAAAGGTGTGTGCCATCACCACCCAGCTTAAGAGACCCTATTTTTTAAGTAATAATAATGACAATAGAGTTGGGGAGAAGACTGAATGTGTAAAGTGCTTGTTGCCTAAGCAGGAGGACCCAAGTTTGGATCTGCAGCACCGATGTAAAAGCTGTGTGATGTGCACTGCTAACCCCAAAGCTGGGGTGACAAACACAAGTGGGTCCCAGGGTAGCCAGCTAGTCTACCTAAATCAGTGAGCTTCAGGCTCTGTAAGAGACCCCATCTCAAAAATAAGATTGAAGATGGGCGTGCTGACCTATACTTTGTTGCCGGCACTACAGAGGCAGAAGCAGGCAGATCTCTGTGAGTTCCAGGCCAGCCAGAGCTACACTGTGAGACCCTGTCTCAAGTTGGGGGGAAAAGCTCTAAGCCGCTCCCACTCCTAGGCACCTTGAGAAAGTGTTCCCTGTGGTGACACCTGGTGGTTGCAGATGCCACTGCCCAAATTCCTTGCTGTCCCCTGCTTGCACTCCCAACAGATTCTGGTTAGGCTGGTCTTTTGACCACTCCAGATTATTTCTTTTCTTTTCCTTTTTTTACAGTTGCTCCCTTTCTCTTTTTTAATCTTTTTTAAATTTAAATTAGAAACAAGCTTGCTTCGCATGTCAATCCCAGCTCCCTCACCCTCCCTGCCACTCCAGATTCTTTTCATCATCTTCCCATCCCAGGAGACCCGATGCTTCTGTTCAAAAAGGTGGATTTGAGACCCAGGATGTCAACTTGGCCTCTCCTTGCCTCTGTTTTAAAAAAGAAAAATTGTCTCTAGCCAGAGGTTTATGCCTATAATTCCAACACTTAGGGAGTGGAAGCAGTTGGATCTGGAGTTCAAGGTCATCCTCAGCGTCATGGAGAGTTCCAGGTACAAATAAAAGTCTCCCAAGCTCTCAAATTTTCATCTAGAAAGTAGAGCTGACACAGCCAGCTCTGTGAGTTTTCTGGAAAGACTAAAGGAGAGAATATGAACAAACCCTACAATGTGAGTACTCAGGAGGCTGAGGCAGGGAGATTCACAGAGTTCAGGCTAGAAAAACAAACAAACAAACAAACAAACCTGAGCACAGGAAGTGGCAAATGGCATGCCCTGGAATGTCACCTTGTAAGGAATGACTGATGGTTCTGAGGGTGGCTGAACCCAGGATGAGACCAGGAGACTAACTAGGTCACCTCTCTGCCTGCCCTGGCTGGGAGCACAACCAAGGCAATGTCCTCTGTAGCAGGCAGAAACTGCTCAGCACCCACACTTCTGTCCCTGCTCGATGTCCTGAACTGGCCCTATGGACGGGGCAGCCCTCCATACTGAATGAAGCCCAATTCCTGAGTGACTCCCGGGGGCTCTTCTCTAGCTGTTCCATTCCGCTTTCTGGCTGTCTATGGTGGTACATACATGCAATCCAACACTCTTAGGCTGAGGCAGGAGGATGGAGAGTTTGAGACCAGCCTTGCTACACGAAAAGACCCTATCTCAAAAAAAAAAAAAAAAAAAAAGCAAAACAGAACCACAACAAGCAACCAACAAGAAGAAAGCAACCAACCGTGGTCCTGCTTTGGGCTCATCTCTTCAAAGGAATTTTTCTCTTATTTTCCTATTCCCACATCAACAGTGATTCTCCTCGGTTTAATTCCTAGAGCACTTATCACCTTGCACTGTGCCTTGCTCTTCTGGTTCCTATTACAACCAACTTAATTTATTCATCCAACAAATATGTATTGAGTGTCTGCTGTGTGCCAGCTACTGTTGCAGTTACGGCCAGTGAGCAAGATCCACTCCCAGGGATTATCCACTCTGGTGTGGGAGGTAACCACTAAGCAAACGCACAAAGAGCATGTGTGACGTCGCAAGTGAGGAGTGCCTTGAGCAAAACGTAGACTGGGAGAGCGGAGTATAGGGTGGGTTTTGTCCAGGTGAATAAGTTTGGCTTAGGGAATGGAAGAGGCAAAATCTCTTTGCCAACAATGATTGCTACAAGGACAAGAAAATGGTCAGGATGGCCAGAGTAGAGTGAAGAACAGATAGCGGAGCAAGAGATGTGGTCAGGGAGGGAGAGAGGGGGTTATATATTCAGAGAGAGGGTCTCACTCTGCAGCCCTGGCTAGCCTGGAACTTTCTGTGTAGAGCAGGCTGGCTTTGAACGTGGCAGAAATCAATCTGTCTCTATGTCCTGAGTGCTGGGATAAAGGTGCATAAAGCATACACATTTTACATGAACAACCCGATGGTGTGCACACACTTGGTGGGGGTTCACAATACGGACATCCCGATACTCCAGAAGGCCCCAGCATGGCACACAAATCCTCAATGCCCCCCGCCAAGCACCACACTTTTTACTTCCCTCCAGGCTGGCCTCGAACTCACAGAGATCCACCTGCCTCTGCCTCCCGAGTGCTGGGATTAAAGGAATGCAAAACATTTCTTGTTTGTGGATTTGTATTCTCCTGTGTTGTGGAGTATATGTGTGTGTGTGTGCACATGTGTATTTTTGTTTTGGGATGAGTGATTGTTCCATAGTTCAGGCTCGCCTTAATTTAGGGTCTCCCTGCCTCAACTGCCGAGAGTGCTGGAATTCTGCAGGTATGGCATCATGGCCAGCTCTTTGCACATGCCCATGAGGGCAGACACTGGAAAGACTCAGGTGTCTTCAGTTGCTTTCCACCTTCTTCCCTTGAGACAGTATCTCACTGAACCTGAAGTTCACTGGTTCAGATAGGCTGGCTGGGCAACAAGCTCCTGAGAACTGCCTGTGTCTGCTCCCCAACCCTGGCACTATAGGCATGTGGGTCCATGTGCAGCTTTCATTTGGATGTTGGGGATTCAAACTCACATGCTTGCATGGCAAGTGGTAGTACCTACTGAGTCGTCTCCTCAGCCCCACACACAGCTTGCTTGCTTTTCTAACTTTTTATATTTGTTGTTTTGAGATAAGATTCACTCTTTGACCTACACTAGAATAGTTCTCATTATGGGGCTCAGGCTGGCCTCACCCCTGTACAAATTCTCCTGTCTCCGTTCAAGTGCCCTGATAACAGGCATGAATCACCAAACCTGGCTGTCCTTTTCCTTAAGATTTCTAGCTGTGCGTGCTCGCCCTCAGATCCATTGGAATGAGCCACTCAATGTGGATGCTGGGAACTGAACTGGAGTCCTCTGCAGGAGCAGTATGTGTGGGTTGTCTTTTTGTTTGTTGTTTTGTTTTTGATTTTCTTTTTTTTTCCGGTATTTACAAGACAGGGTTTCTCTGTATTGTTTTGGAGGCTGTCGGTCCAGCCTGGCCTCGAACTCACAGAGATCCGCCTGACTCTGCCTCCCGAGTGCTGGGATTAAAGGCATACACCACCACCGCCCGGTGTGTTTTTGATATTTTTGAGACAAGGTTTCTCTGTGTAGCTTTGTAGACCAGGCTGGCCTTGAACTCAGAGGTCTGCCTGCCTCTGCCTCCTATGTGCTGGGATTAAGCCATGTACCACCATTGCCTAGCTGTGCGTTCTTTTTTATTTTTTATTTTCTTATTTTTTAGAACAAAGTCATCCACAAGGTGTGGCTGACTTTGTTCTTTTTTTAAGATTTACTTATTTATTACGAATACAACACCCTGCCTCCATGTACACATCAGAAGAGGACACCAGTTCTCATTACAGATGGTTGTGAGCCACCATGTGGTTGCTGGGAATTGAACTCATGACCTCCGGAAGAGCAGTCAGTGCTCTTAACCTCTGAGCCATCTCTCCAGCCCCCTTTTTTATTTTTTTAAATAATTTCTTTTAACTTTATTTTATGTGCACTGATGTGAGATCCCCTGGAGTTATAGACAGTTGTGAGCTGCCATGTGAGTGCTGGGAATTGAACTCAGGACCTCTGGAAGAGGAGCCAGTGCTCTTAGCCACTGAGCCACCTGGCCAGCCCCGCATTCTTTTTTAAAACAGGTTATTATCTTTATGGACATGGATGTTCTGTCTGCATGCACACCTGTGCATCATGCCTGTCTATGTACACACTTGGCACATGCAGAGGCATCGAATCCCCTAGAACTGAGTTACAGACAGCTGTGAGCTGCCACATGGCTTCTGAGAATCGAACCAGGGTCCTCTCCAGTGTTCTTAACTGCTGAGCCATCTCTCTAGCCCCGCCCTCTTTTTCCCGTTCTTTTCTTCTTCTACCCCACTCCCACCACTGAGGAACTGAACAAGTGTTCTGCCATCAAGCTATACCCCCAACCCCTCTGGAACATAATGTGTATCTGAAGCTAGCCCCAATTTGCATCAGTCTTCCTGACTTAGCCTCCCAAGTGCTGTTTAATTCATCGCCATGAAATTATTGTGATCACCTAAGTGTGGTCCATGGCTGTAATGTCAGAACTTGGGAGGCGGAGGTTATATGATTGAAGGTAAGGCTAGACAAAGCGACATTGAGTGTCTCAAGGTGGAAAAAAAAAAGAAAAACAACCATAAAACAAAACAGAAAAATTCCTTCCACTATTACTATCATATATGTCTTGTACTAATTTCTCGTGGGTGTACGCTCATGAGTGGAAATGCTAGGCCATGCACTATGTATTAGTTATGTAACCTATTTTTAGCAGATATTGTCAATTTTCCAAAGTGGTAGTACCAGTTTACATTCCCACCATCAGCGTATGAAAGTTCCAGTTTTACCCAGGCGTAGTGGTACACGCTTGTCATCCCAGCACTTGGGAGGCTGAAGGAAGAGGACTGATGAGAACTAGACTAGCCTGAGCTACATAAGGAGACCTAGTCAGGAAAACAAAAGTTCCCCATCCTCACTGGGACTGGTGCTGCTGGTCTTTTTCATCTTAGATATATGCAATGAAACTAAGGTTTTAGAAAGAATGTGTGGCCAGGCAGTGGTGGCACACACCTTTAATCCCGGCACTCAGGAGGCAGAGGCAGTCGGATCTCTGTGAGTTCAAGGCCAGCCTGATCTACAAAGAGAGTGCCAGGACAGCCTCCAAAGCTACAAAGAAACCCTAGCTCCAAAAACCAAAATACTAAGGTTTTAGAAAGAATGTGTGGCTCAGTGTAGAGTCTTGACTGGCAGCAAGTAGGGATGGGCTAGAAAAGATGCTAATAGACTAACAGGATAAGGTTAGTCTTGTCATCCAAGAAAGCCCTGAAGGTGGCATGCACTAGGGTACTCATGGGGTGATCAAGGAAACGAACAATCCAGACATGCTGGAACTGTCCCTGATGGAACTGGCTAAAAAAATGAGCGAGACTAGGAATGGCAGTGCACCCATTTAATCTTAGCATTGGGAGGCAGAGGCAGGTGGACCCTGTCTCAAAAACAAGCAAGTGAAAAGACGAGTGAGGGTAAGTGAAGAGAGACAGGTGGGGTGAGTTCCAGATGTTTATTTCAGGCAGAATAGCTGGACTCTATCCTGCCACCATCTCCCAAGCGTGGGGATTACAGGCATGCACTACCACACCCAGCTAAATACGAGACTTTATCAGTATGTTTGCTTATGTGTGTGTGCGTGCGGGTGTGCATATTTGCACAAGCCACAGTAGGTACATAGAGGCCAGGGGACAATTTGTGATGCTCTTTCTTTCCTTCTGCTTTTACATGGGTCCCAGGTGTCAAACGCAGGTCATCGTCAGGCTTACAGGGCAAGCACTCTGCTCCATCAGCCATCTCCCAGGCCCCTAAATTCTAGGTTTTTGCCTTGAAAAACTGGGTGGAAACACAATCAAAAGAGAAGAAAAGCTGGGCAAAGGAGAGGAATGCTTTCTGATATCAAGATTCAGGGAGAATTACACAAGCTAAGACCTCCCACGAGGCTATTTAAGTGTACAGTGTCTCCTGGAGTTCAGGCTACCACGAGAGTTAACACAGACCAGTCAGTGTGCCTCTATCCTGGCAAGACTGGTGACTGCCAGCTGCATGAACAGCTTGGGCTGCCTGCAGCAGACAGGCCAGGGTTAGGGTAGCAGGCCTGCCCAATCTAGCCCTGAAACTTGGACTTCGTGCTGGACCTGCTCGGCCTCCACCTCAGACCTTGCAGGGTTGGAAGTGTGATCACATATCAGCGTGCCCCGGAACAGATGAGAACACAAACATCTCCTGAGTTCCAGACACAGATCTTGTGAGGCTGGCACCTTCTCCTCCCACTCACATTTTCCAGGTCACTCTAGACAGCTAAGCTGAGGGGCCTTGTCCCCTGTTCCCTCTCCCAAGCTCAGTCCTTGCCCCAGTTTCAGAGAAACAGAGGAGAACAATGGATGTTGGTTCATAGACTTTAGTGTATTTCCTCTATCCAGCAGTTTCTTCAATGACAAGCGGGCCTGTACAATACACACAGTTCACTCCATTAAAGCTACAGGGTTGGGGAGTGGGGGCCCCTGAGAAGCAGTGGGGCAAGCATCACAGCCAGAGGCAAGCAACAGCCAAGGGGAGGGGGAGGCAGCGTTCTTAGAGGCTAAGGAACAAGACAAGGCTGATGAGGGGTTACTGAAGAGGGGCAGGAAGCCTGAGCTGCAGGAAGAGCAGCCAGCAGATGTGTGGAAGAAGCAGAGTGTGGGGAGGTGTGGCCACCATCACCATTATGGGGGGGTGGCATGGTCACCATCACCACTAGCAGCTCGGGGGAGTGGTATGGTATGTCTGTGGATATTTTGTCAGGAACTGCTGTATAAAAGGGGCTGTACAACATAACCTACAATATTTACATATGATACAAGGATCTTTCCCTCTTTGGGTTTTAAAAAATAAATGTACAATTCCAGAGCTTTGGGTAAAAATATATACACCCCCTGGAGCAAGAGCTGCAGCTGATTTCACTTCTGCCACAGCCACCGCTACCTCTTCAGAAGGGCCAGGAAGGAGGGTGAGGCTGTGCCAGGAAACCTCATCCAGTAGCTGCCAAGAACCCCTGCAACCCCTCAGCGCTGGAGCCCGAGAAGGGGGAAGAAGGGTGACAGAGAGGTAATAAAGGCCTTGCGGGAGCCCAGCTTTTATAGCTGCTGCCTTTTCTCCCCACTTAGGGAGGCGCTAGCTGCCCCAGGTACTGAGATCCACCTTTGACTCTCTAGAAAGACAGAGGGGGTATGAAGACACGTGGACAGATTGTGCAGTTGATGGCAGACACAGAGACAGAGGAAGGATGAGACACCCCCAAAAGCAGAGGTAGGGGGACAGGTGCCCCTAACACCACTGCATTCCACCCACTGTAAGGCAGAGGCAGGGTCCTGTAGGCAGCTTAAGCCTGTGTTTCCCTGAGCATCTTTTAGCCTCTCACTGGCACATACCCAGAGATCTTAGGGAAGCTTGAGTAGGGGATTTGCAGGGGCTGATGGGTAACTCTCCTGCCTTCTGATATGCCCTGCCTTCAGGAACAGGTTGGCCCACAGTTTTCACATGTAGGACAACAGGTGGAGTTGGGCAGGAAGTAGTGGAGACATAGTCAACAAGTGTAGCACCAAACAGAAGGGAATCCTCAAAAACAAACAAAAAAACCACTGTGATACTTTCCCTACATTATCAGATGCACTTTTGTTCTCTAAAAGGGGACATGTAAATCACACAGACAGACAGAGACAGGCAGGCAGGCAGGCACACACACACACACACACACACACACACACACACACACACACACTGTCTAGGGGGTGTGTGTATATCCAGGGATCTCAGCCCTGATCAGGAGGAAGTCAAACAGGTGGCAGGGCAGGCGGCTTCCAGTGCCTCCACACCACAGCTGCAATCAGGGAGGGGGCGCTTCCTTCCTTCTTGGGAAGCAGAGTCTAAAAACTCCATCTCTGGAACAGACCTCACTGGGAGAACATGGGGCTGCGCCTACTCTTGCTCAGAGAGGTCAGAAACCAGGAGTATGAAGGAGTAAGGTAAGAGGACCTCAGCAGGATGGACAGGCTTATGCATTCTGGTTAGTCAACCCAACTCCTCCTTGCAGGATAGGAAGCTGCTCCAGGGAAAAGATGTCCAGATGGGGTTGTGAAAAGTGCTCGAGTGCCAGGCGCCAAGGACCGAGGTGGGCACTGGGCCCCTTCACTCTCACTGACTATTAGCCTCCAACTTGTAGGAGAGCTCGAACAGGAGATTCTGGTTGTCAATGACCTGGAACTGGCGCACGTAGGCCTTGGTCTGCAGGTGATGCGGAGAGGCCTCCATGTCCAGGCCTGGGGTGTGGAGAGGGAGAGGTAGTCAGCTCTTAGCTTCCCTTCTCCCCCTACACGCATGCTGGACAGCGCAGGGCAGGGCAAAGGGTGTGAATGGGGACAGGTACTGGCAGGAAGCCCAAGGAAGGAACAGAGAAGTGACCAGTGTGACGAAACATAACTTGAGCATAGCGTTCTCCCAACCCTTCCTCTGCTACAGTGGGAAGCTCACTGAGTCTTGGGTACTTACAGAGGGGCCGGCTGCGGTATTTTCGGATTGTCCTCACTTTCTCAGCCACGGAATGCTGGGAAATGACAAGGAATTAGCCCTGACAAGGGCAGACAGCAGCTTCCCACTTCAATCTCAACGGAGTTAGCTCTACCATCTCCAGTGCTGGGCCTCTGAAGGGCCAAAGGATGGGTAAAAGCAAGATGGCAAGAGAGGGAGGCACAATTGCCCCCAAACTGCCTGGCAGCTCTGCCTCCTGTAGGTGGGTTGCCACAGTGACGCCACCAGGGAGACAGTCTGGAGTCTGTTAGGCAAGCTGGGCACCAGAGAGAAAGGCTGCTATTTTGGGGAAGTGACAGGGGCTGGCAGTACCACTCACCAACTTCTCAATGTTCACCAAACCATCCACAAGGGTCTTACTCCCCTCATGCAGGAAGGTCAGGTCTAGGGAACAGAGAGACAGCCAAGTGTGAGAACAGAATAGGCAGAGGGAACCCATCCCACCTTCCAAGACGCATGCAGTGTGGGGGGCGGGGCACTTCTCTGCAAGTAGACACAGCTGAATTGAGAGGGGACTCAAGTGCAGGCCTGGGGTGGGGAGGAAGGAGTGTAAACAGGAGACGCACAGCACGGCAGGACTGACCTTTGAGGATCAGGGGTACGAAGGGAATCACAGGAGGCTTCATTTTGGAGATGATCTCTCTGTAGCTCTTATGGTTCCGGCAGGGGTCCTAGCATTCCACAGAAGGAGCAGAAACAGATGGGCCCAGTGCACCCCCAAAGACGTCTCCTATTCTCTACTGGCTGAGGAAAGCCAACCCCACTCACCGTCAAGTTCTCAAATTTGCGGAACAGGTTCTTGAATTTCCCTGGCAGCTTCTGCAGAGAGTTCGAAGGAAGACAGAAGAAATGTCAGTGAGAGTGTGACTACTCTTCCTTACAGGGCTCCAGGCTTACACGTCTTGCAGGGGGAGGGGAAGCTAGCAGGCAAGGACAGAGAATCAGTCCTAAGGGTAAGTCAGGGAGTGTGGAACTGCCCGAGGAATGGACTATTCTGGACCAAGCGAGACCTCTGCCTACACAGGTGCCAGGCACAGGGAGCGCTGGCTGAGACTCAGCTGATAATCAGAGCAAGGGCACTTCAGCCGGGATTCTAGGTTTTTAACTCATTTGCAAAGACATGAGCAAAGCTGTATGTCCTGAGCAGCAGAGGCCAGAAGAGGGCACCTGCTTCCCATTGGCACAAAGACTGCCCACGGAGCAGCAGCTGCGGGACCAGGAGGATGCGCACAGACCCTGAGGCGGGGTGACTGCTCTGGCACTGTGGGTAGAGAAGGGAGAGGTCCTCTCACCTCCCAAGTGAGCCGCAGGCGGCTGACGGCAGCATTGTCCAGCCCCATGACCACAGCGTAGAAGGACAGTAGGTCCTGATTCTGCTTGCAGCTGTGTGGGAGGGAGGGGGGTCAGAGGGCATCGGGTAACTGCCACCTTCCCAGCCTCCACCAGCGGCACTCACATGGCGGCGATCTTGATGAACTTCTTGAGCAGCTGTACCCGCTTGCCAGGAGCCTCACAGAGCAGCACCTCAGTGGCCACCCAGTGGGTGACCTCGCTGCAGCGCTGCAGCAGCAACTCCAAGTTGGCCGTCTCGCGGCGACCACGCTCCCCATGGAACACGTAGTCCACAAACTCCAGCTGCAACCACCGTGGCAAAGGAAAGGCCAGGGCAGCCGAAATGTGGGTGGGAAGATGGCACAGAGCACGTGGAGAAGGAAGGACAGAGTGAGTGGGTATGAAAATAGAAAAATCGGGACAGGACAGCATACACCAGAGACAACTAACGTTAACACTGCTCTCCATCTAGTGAGCATGGAAGTACCATGTGCTTGCTAAAACCTGTTATTCCCCACCCCACCCCAGACACTTATCACTTACTGCCTTTTATCTTTATTTCTCTCTCTTTTTTTTTTTTTTTTTTTTTTTTGGTTTTTCGAGACAGGGTTTCTCTGTGGCTTTGGAGGCTGTCCTGGAACTCGCTCTGTAGACCAGGCTGGTCTCAAACTCACAGAGATCCGCCTGCCTCTGCCTCCCGAGTGCTGGGATTAAAGGCGTGAGCTACCAACGCCCGGCTATTTCTTTCTTTTTAAGATGAGAGATGGCTCAGTGGTTAAGGTCACATATTGATCTTGCAGAGGACCCGAGTTCAATTCCCACCACCCACATTAGGCAACTCACAACTGCCTGTTACTCCAGGGAATCTGATACCTCTATGACCTTATACACAGAAATACACAAGTGCTCATGCATAAATAATAATAATAAAGATCTTTTTGAAAATATTTTATTTGGGGGGCTGTAAATATTGCTCAGTGGTTAAAAATGTATACTGACCTTCCAGTATATCTAACTTTGGTTCCCAGCACCCAAAAAACGTGGCTCGCAACTGTCTGTAACTCTAGCTCCAGGGGAATCTGATGTCTCTGGCCTCTGTGGGCTCCTGTACTCACATATGTGCATGTACACACGTGCACACACAATAAAAATAAAATAAATCTTAAAACAAATTTGCCAGGCATGATAGTGCACACCTTTAATTCTAGCACTCCAGAGGCAGAGGTAGGCAGACCACTGTGAATTTGAGGCCAGCCTGATCTACATAGTGAGTTCCAGACCAGTCAGGGCTACATATTGAGACTGTTTCAAAAACAACAAAAAATTGCCGGGCGTTGGTGGCTCACGCCTTTAATCCCAGCACTCGGGAGGCAGAGGCAGGTGGATCTCTGTGAGTTGGAGGCCAGCCTGGTCTACAGAGCAAGTTCCAGGACAGCCTCCAAAGCCACAGAGAAACCCTGTCTCGAAAAACCAAAAAAAAAAACCAAAAGCCAAAAAACAACAACAAAAAATTAAGACTTTAATATTTATTTGTGTGTGTGTGTGTGTGTGTGTGTGCACATTCGTGCAAAGGCCAGAAGAGGGCATCAGAGCCCCTGAAGCGGGAGTTAGAGGTGGTTGTAAGCCACTGGCTATGGAGCTGGGAATCAACTCTGGCCCTCTGCAAGAACAGCAAGCACTCGTAACCTCTCAAGCCCTCATATTTTTTGTTTGTTTGTTTTAATCTATTTACTTTCATTTCATATGCATTGCTGTTTTGCTTGCAGGTAAGTCTGTGTGAGAGTGTCAAATCTTGGAGTTACAAACAGTTGTTAGCTGCCATGTGGGTGCTGGAGTTTGGAGCTGGGTCCTCTATAAGAGCAGTCAGTGCCCTTAACCACTGAGCCATCCCTCCAGCCCCCCTTGTTTTTTGTTTTGATACAGGGTTTTCTGTATCTCAGGCTGGCCTCCAACTCATCATGGAGACCAGGGTAATCTGGATCCTTCTGGCTCCACGTCCCAAGTGGTGAGACTACAGGCATCCTCCATCACACCTGATTTATTCAGTTGTGGGGGTCAAGCCCAGCGTTGTGCATGCTAGGCAGGTACCCTACCAACTGAGTTACAACCTCAGCTCGGCAGTAAACATTTTTATGAATCCTGATATGAATCCCAGTTCAGCATCTATGTAGACAGCACCTGAAACACTCTACTATGGAGGCTCTCTACCATTTCCCCAGATGAGGGGACAAAGGCCTACCACGGTCATGCCTGCACATTGCCCATGTGTGTGCTGCAAGTGAGCCTTCTAACTAGGACCGTCTGCTGCAACAGCAGACTCCCAGCACACCCCCCGCCACACCCCTTCCCGGCGCAAGCCTCAGTCCCACCTCATGCACACATCGGAACAGCTCCCAGTGGAAGGCAGTAAGATGGTTGGCAACATCTTCAGGCTCTACCCGGTGGATTTCTGTGTCTCCAGGGGAGACCTGGATCTCCTCAGGAAGGGGTACCTGGTGGCAGGAGGGGTCAGAAAAACTTGGCTCCCTGTGGTAGGGTGAGAGACTTGCTCTCAGCCCCCCTTAGCTCTTGTTACCAGCCAAGACAGGTGAAGGAATTCTTACTAAGGTCTCATAGCTGTCCCGGGTACAGGCAAATAGGTGGCTGTTGATGCCCAGCGTGGTGAAAACACAGTCCTCTGTTGGCTGGAGGAGGACCTTCTCTGCAGAGGAACAGGCTGTTCAGCTTGGACACCCACACCCTTCACATACCTGAGCCACCATCACCCTTCCCATCCAGAAACCGTAACACTATGCTGACACATCCTACACTAGTGCTTATACCACATTTATCTGAAATTTGTAAAATGCTTTCTTTTGCATTTATACACTCTACCCCATATGTAGCTCATCTCTCATTCCTTCATCTTTATGACATTGGACAGGCTGGAATACTTTTTCTTTTTAATATTTTAAAAATTGTATTTATTTATATTTTAGTATGAGTGCTCTGCCAGAAGAGGGCATCAGATCCTATTATACATGGTTGTGAGTCACCATGTGGTTGCTGGGAACTGAACTCAGCTAGTGCTCTTAACCACTGAGCCACCTCTCCAGCTTGGAATACTTTTCTTTATGGAAAATAAGGCTCAGATGAGCACGCTGGAGCATGCCTGAAGTCCTGGCACTTGAGAGGCAGAAGCAGGAAAGACTGTAAATTCCAAACCAGCCTGGGGCTTTACACACACACACACACACACACACACACACACACACACACACACACACACACACACCACACCACACGAGCTATGCTACATCACAGGCTCTCTGCCTCCCCACAGGATTACAGCCTACCCTATGTCCTCAGCCTGAAAAAAAACAAAACAAAACAAAACTCAGCATATACAAAGCCATCGAGAGGTGTATGTGAAGGATCAGAATACAGTCTCCAGGTGGGTATTAGATTGCACCCAGGACGGAATTCAATGATTCTGAACCAGTGTGTCCCAAATTTAAATGTGCATGGGGATCCCCTGGGTATGGGGGATGGCCTGGTCTAAATTCAGATTTTAATCCTGTAGGTTTGGGGTACGGTCTCCTAGGTGATGCACTCCTCAAGGTTGGACCCAGGATGATGAGTATCAAGGATCTAGAATTTAGTGTTTATCCCTGCCTCATGTGCGAGCTGACCCTCACCTCCAGAGGAGGCAACAGCTACCAGGATGAGAGCATCCTCACGCTCTGCAGGCTCTTCTGAGTACTGCAGCTTCTCTGTCACAGAGCCCAGAATGTCCTGCACCGATGCTGAGAGGCGGCTGCGAATGGTCACGTAAGAGTGGTCAGGCATGTAGACTCGGCAGAAGACTGCAAAAAGACAGGAAAGGACCAGGTGGTGGTGCACGCCTTTAATCCCAGCACTCGGGAGGCAGAGGCAGGCGGGTCTCTGTGAATTCCAGACCAGCCTGGTCTACAAGAGCTAGTTTCAGGACAGCCTCCAAAGCCACAGAGAAACCCTGTCTCGAAAAACCAAACCAAACCCAAACAAGACAAGACAGGGAAGGTACTGTGAAAGGGACCAAGAGACTCCATTGAAGATGCAGAAGGCCCAAGGACTCCCACCCACCTCCCTGAGCCCAGAAACTGTGCTCTCCCTGATGACCATACTCACTCTCATCTGAGCCCCGGAATGCCACTCGGGTCTGCAGACAGGAATCTATCCGGCGGAAGTGGCGGAAGAGTGGCTTAACCTGCTTGCTGGGTGGCTGGCTCTCCTCTGGAATCCTGGCATGAATACAGCCGGGCATCAGCAAGCCTGCCAGGCATATGGAGCACCAGGCAGGACCATTAAGCAGGGACAGGGCAATGACCAGCATAGGGCAATTGTCCAAGTGACGCAAATCAAATGCCATCTCTCTCAAGGGCTCTTCTCTGGTCTACCCACCCTCAAAGAAAGGTCATTCTCTTGTCTCAAATGCCACAAAACAATGGAACAATATTGCTTATGTTCACATCATCTTTTCTACCAGATTGACAGCTTTTGAGGAATAGGATTAGTTTTCACTGAGTGTTTTTCACCCTTTAGGTTGTAGCACATGTCTTGGCACATGGTGGGTAGTAGGACATCAGATGTCTGACCTTTACTGACAAGGACAGACATGCACACAGCTACTTATAACACCAGCCAGGAAGTGTTGGTGAGATGACAAAGGTACAGGAGAGTGATGTGGCGTGGGGGAGGAAGGAAACCCTTTCTGAAGGGGGAAATCTGAGATGTTTCCACAGAAGAGACGGCATTTGACCCAGGGCCTTGAAGGATCTCGGGAAGAAAAAGTAGGAATGCACAAGGGTTGCAGAGTAATGGGTGAAGAGGGATGCTCAAGAGGAGACGGGAAATATCAGCAGATGGCAGGAAGAGAGGGGTGCTGATGCTGTGCTAGGGTATTTAACTAGGGAACGTGGATGCTTAGGCAACAGGAGGGTGGGGGTATTGCTTATAAAAGTCTCAAAAGTATCTTTGGTGTCAGAGAGAGAAGGGAGAAAGATGCAAGGTCAGAAGCTGAGGTCCTGAACAGGTTGTGGCAACAGTCTAGGTGAGATAATGAACCTTGTAGCAGCAAAAATGGAGAGGAGAAAACCAAGATGTACTCCTGTCCTGAAGCTAGTGAGGTCAATTTGGGGAAATTTTGCCAACTGTTTGTTTGTTTAGGTAATAGTGGAGATTAGCCCCAGGACCTTACATATTAGACAAGCACCCCATGACTGAGCTATACCCCAAGTCCTTATTATTTTTTTTTATTTTGAGACAGGATCTCACTAAGTTGTCCAAGCTGGCCTTGAGTTGATATTCTTCTATTTCAGCCTCCTGAATACCTAGGATTACAGGGATGTGCCAACTTCCATAACTGATGCATGTTTCTAAAGATTTATCTGCATTTTTTTGTTTTTGCTTTTGTTTTTTTTTATTGTTTTTTTTTGTTTTTGTTTTTGTTTTTTTGGTTTTTCGAGACAGGGTTTCTCTGTGGCTTTGGAGGCTGTCCTGGAACTCACTCTGTAGACCAGGCTGGCCTCGAACTCACAGAGATCCTCCTGCCTCTGCTTCCTAAGTGCTGGGATTAAAGGCGTGCGGCACCAGTGCCTGACAAGATTTATCTGTATTTTTAGTGTGTATGGGTGTTTTGCCTGTATGTACCTTGTGTACCAAATGCAAGCACTACATCTGGAGTGCAGGAAAGGCACTAAACCTTCTGGAACTGGAGTTACAGAGGGCTGTTAGCAGCCATGTGGGCACTAGAAATCCAACCTGGGGTCTTTGGAAGATCAAATGCTCTTAACCATTAGGCTACACCTGCAGATTTTTTTTCAAGATAGGGTTTCTTTGCATAGCTTTGGCTTTCTGGAACTAGCTTTGTAGACCAGGCTGGCCTTGAACTCACAGAGATCCGCCTGCCTCTGCCTCCAGAGGTGTGTGTACAAGGGTACATAGAACAGGTGAGATATTTAAGGAAAGTAAAAGTAAAAGCTCTCTCTCTTGGAAGCCTGCCACGCTTCTGATCTTCCAAGCTTGTGTGTAAGTGCTTTCTCCTGCTAATAAAAATATTTGTTTCCACATTGCATTGATTCTCTCAACATGTATGTGTGTGTGTTCATTCATTCACAAAGATGCCACTATACTTGAGGTCAAATAAATTATTATCAAGAAGACAGTTTCAAGCTAAGCAGTGTGGCACAAACCCATGATCCCGCCACCTCTGAGGCACACTCAGAAGGTGGCTGCATGTTTCAAACACTCTATCTCAAAGATAAATAAATAAGAAGAAAAAGGAAAGAAAAGGTAGTTCTCTAGGCTCTTCTTGCTGTTTTGTGTTGCCTGTGCCCCAGCTGTGTTTAGGGGTATGTGACAAAGTGGTGGTGGAAATACTATGTAGTTGCCGCAGCAGATCTCTTCCCAGCTCCACCGTCAGTGACGCCTTGTCGATAGCTTGCAATCAACCACGGGTAAGAGAACTTACACTGTGAGAATCAGAGACATCAACCAGGGCTGTTTCTCATAGAGCACGGGTTGTGAAACATCTGCCAGGGCACTACCAGATTAATAGACAAATGGATGGGAAAATGGGCCAAAAACTAAAAAGAGACAGGAGCTGGGCCTGGCGGCACAGGCCTGCTTGGGAATCTGAGAGGAGGACTATCAGTAGAGGCCATCTTGCGCCACACAGTAAAGTAGAGGTTAGCTTGAGCGATATAGTAAGACATGCTGCTTAGCACCTCCCTGCCAAAGAGAGAGAGAGAGAGAGAGACAGAGAGAGAGACAGAGAGAGACAGAGAGACAGAGAGAGAGAGAGACAGAGAGACAGAGAGACAGAGAGAGAGAGAAAGAGACTGGGTTAGAGAGAGTGTTGCATGGTTCTGTGTTACTCTCCAGTAAGGGAAGGAGCTGAAAGAAGCCATGTTGAAGGGGCTGGAGAGATGACTGCGTGGTTTAGAGCACTGGCAGCTCTGCCAGAGGACCCCGTCTCTGTTCCCAGCACCCACATGGTGCCTCAGCTGTCTGTGACTCAGATTCCTGGGGACCCAATGCCCTCTTCTGACCTCAGCACACCCAATCATGCAGGTGATATGCAGATGTACATGCAGGCAAAAACAGAAAAACAAATAAATAAATATCTCAAAAAGCAAGCAAACAAGTAAGCAACTAATATGTTGGCACCACAAGACCAGAGGCAGCCCCTGAACAGAGGAACTCAGGGGACCCCTCCCCCCTCACTTTAGCTCCACCGTCTCCACCAGCTGGTGCAGCCTCAGAGTGTCCTCTCGGAGGTCTTGGTAAAGGGACTCATCCTTCATAATTAGTAGATACAGTTCCTAGGGAGAGGGTAACAGATGAGATAAAGGCAGATGCCCCATCCCAGGGACCACTCACTGCAAGGGCAAGAGGCAGGGCCTTTCGGGCCTCAAGCACTCAGGAATCACACAGATCAAAGCCCACTGGCATCTTTTGCTTCCAGATACCCAACTTGAGGAGTGTCAATCCTTCAAAGCGCCCCCTTCCAGAGCAGACAGCCAGCTCATGCATCTTTTCCTTCCCAGGCCCACCTTGATAATGTGGCCGGCCCCTTCTTCCTCTTGCAGTAGTCCTTGGTAGGTGTCCAAGAAATGGAGGAGCAGAGCTAGACAGGCTTGCTTCCGGCCCAGCCCCTCTGGACCCTCCACATTCCTTGACTGAACAAAGCTGACCCCTAAGTTAAGTAAAAGTTCTGGATAGCCAAGGAAGCTGGGAAAGGCAAATTGCCCCCAAATATTCTGGGCTTGGGTAGCAGAGAAAAGAAGGTTTTCAGGGACATGGAACCAAGACTTTTCTCATACCAGCCATGGTTTTGCTTAGAGTACAAAGAGTGAGAGCTTCAGTTGACCACATTCAGCTCTCGCCTGGTAAGAATATTGCCAGGACCCATATAATCTCTGACCAGACCACAAACCTGACTTTACCTTATGGTGAGAGCCTAGTGACATTCTACTCAAGGGCTTGACAAGTACAATTAAGCTTTTAATATAATTCAAAAAAGCCAGGCATGGTAGTACATTCATATAATCCCAGCATAAAGGAGGCAGAGGCAGGAGGACGACCATGGGAAAATGGCAGCCTGATCTACATTAGTAGTTCCAAACTGAGCCAAGTGGTGGTGGCACACGCCTTTAATCCCAGCACTTGGGAGGCAGAGGCAGGCGGATCTCTGTGAGTTTGAGGCCAGGCTGGTCTACAGAGTGAGTTCTGGGGCACCCAGGGATACATAGAGAAACCCTGTCTCAAAAAAACAAGACAGGGGTTGGAGAGATGGCTCAGAGGTTAAGAGCACTGGCTGCTCTTCCAGAGGTCCTGAGTTCAATTCCCAGCAACTACATCCTGGCTCACAAACATCTGTAATGAGATCTGGTGCCTTCTTCTGCTGTGCAGGCATACACGGAGGCAGAATGTTGTATTCATAATAAATAAATAAATAAAATCTTTGTTTTTAATCTAAACTACCCAGGACTACACAGTGAAACCTGTCTCTAAAACAAAACAAACAAAACTAAGTAAAGTGAATGCTGTATGCTGCCAAGAGCCCCTATGTTTAGAGCAAGATCTTTTTTGTTTTGTTTTGTTTTGTTTTTCTTTTTTTCGTTTCTTTTTTTTGGTTTTTCGAGACAGGGTTTCTCTGTGGCTTTGGAGGCTGTCCTGGAACTCGCTTGGTAGTCCAGGCTGGTCTCGAACTCACAGAGATCCGCCTGCCTCTGCCTCCTGAGTGCTGGGAATAAAGGCGTGTGCCACCAACGCCCAGCTTTGTTTTGTTTTTCGAGACAGGGTTTCTCTGTGTAGCTCTGCCTGTCCTGAAACTCGCTCTGTAGACCAGGCTGGCCTCGACCTCACAGAGATCCGCCTGCCTCTGCCTCTGGGATACGGATATTAAAGGTGTGTCACCATCGCCCCGCTTGCATAGGTCTCTCCAGCGCACTCTCGCACCTGCAGCAAGGCTGATCCTCACAGCAGCCCAGAGCAGAGCAACTGCCTGACTCCATTTTACTGACCGAAGCAAACTGAACGTGATGTGAAGTGATTTACCCAAGGTCATGCAGCTGGTGAGACAAAAAGCTGGCCGTGTCTTTTAAGGGAGAGTTCGGGTTGGGAAGTAGCTTGTGGGTAGGAATGACTCCCTCTTGGTCTGCCTTTTTATAAGCCCCGTAAAAGGATATTACTGGTGCAACTCTTGTAGAAACTTTTCTGTTGGCAGGAAGAGGGAATGGGTGAGGACAATGTCATCAAGCAGAATATCTGTGGAGATCAACGGGTGTCACAGATGTCAGGAGGGAGCTTCTAGGACCCGTCTAGAAAGTCTGCACCCTCCTTTCTTGCCTCTTTACTAAGGCTGGAGGCCCGGCCACCTGCCCTGTCATGCTCTGCACACGCGCACACACATGTGTGAAGGTTCTGGGCAGCAGCTGCGGGGGTGGGGCTGGCAGCTGCCAAGGCAGCTGGAGGGAAGGAGGGGTGCCTTTGGAAGCCATGCACACTTCTCTTCAGTGTGTGGGAAGTTGGTCAGATAATACACCATGCCTGAGATCTGCTAGGGAAAAAAGGAGTCCACGGAAGGGACCCTAAACAGAGAAGTGACAGAGGTAACAGTCAGAATAATGTAGGTGTCTGGGGATGTGTGTTCACCCTCCCCTCATCAGTCCTGACACCATAGCTTCGACAGGGCAGGTGGGGACCAGCCCCAGTAAAATTAGGAGAGGAGGCAGACTGCCACCTCTTGTTCTCAGGCTTTAAATAGAACCCCTGTGTCCTCTGGGTGGTGCCCAGAGGTGGAAGGGTTAATGATGAAGAAGGGAGGGGCTCCTCTCACCACCCTTTCCCTGTACACCCCTGTCTGGGCCTGGCTCAGCCAGTCAGCCAGGTACAAGGTCGCCCTGACTTGCAGCCAACCTTGGGGTGGGGCAGGGCTGCTTGGCACACACAGACAGGCAGGGCACAGGGTGGGAGCCAGGTGTCCTCACCAGGACAGGTTAGGGCCAGGCCCCCAGGCACAGCTCCGGGACAAAACCAAGGCCTCTGACAACAGTTGGTGATCATGCCCTGCTGCCAGTGCCAGCCATGAAGGTAGAGGTGGAAGACACAACACAAGGTTGTGGACTTCGACCTAAACGTTTCTCAGATGAGAAAACTGAGAGCCAGAGCTGGGAGGCTCTTGCCTCAAGCCAGATGAAGAACTTAGATCACGAGTCTTTGTTCTTTCCTCAGTATTAGAGGTGAGCAGTGTCAGGGTAGAATCTAGTGGCCACGAGGGGCTGCCCAGCCGTCTGAGGGGCCCTGGCTAGGTGTGGAGTGCCCTCGGTAAGTACGCAGCCTGGGAGTAAGCACGCAGCCTGGGAGGAGACCAAATGGCTTGAGAACGTGGCTTCTATTGGAAATATTGGAGTGGCAGGTTAAGCTAGTAGGTTTCTCAAACCAGTTTCTCTGGGATTCAGCCTGCCAAGCCAGATGATATGGGTGACCATTTGGGAGTCTTAACCCAGGGGACACTGAACAATCTGTGGCGCCATGCCCCCACAGAAGAGGGAAGTCAGCCTCTTTTTCCCTCTCTTCCCAGCCACCCTGCTGTGCTCTGAGAGTGACAAGTGCCCCAGGCCCTCACGCCGCCCAGCTCCGGGGATGGGGACCAGGCACAAGGAGGCCTGACATCCTTCCGAGCATCTTTACCTCCCTTGAATGTGAGTGCTGAAACCAGAGTAAAGGAAAAGGAATATGGGCAGAGTGGGGGAGATGCTGATACGGGGGCTACAGTTTGGCATCGGTTTCTTCCAAAGCAGGCTCAGGTCCAATGCACAGCCTCCCTGGGGAATGTGTCATAGAGACACAGGGTATGTGGTGTAGGCGGGAAGTTATGGTTAAGGGAGCTGTGTGTGTCTGATATTTTTCTAATTAAATCCAAAAGGTGTCAGTTCCCCAGGGGCAACTGCAGCCCGAGCCAAGAGATGGCCCCGACCTTCAGGAAAAGAAAATGGAGCAGAGGGGAGTGACACCTACTTATAAAGCCAGAGCTGAAGAGTGACATGTAACAGCCTCATCTTTAGGCTCTCAACAACTTTGGGCTCCCCAACCTAAGGCCCTCCAGGTTCAGTGGAGTGCCTACTTAGACCTAAAGACCCTGCTGTCTTCTATTTCAGTTCTAGGTGGTAACGTGGGGACTTCAGTCCCTCATAAGCCCTTTAGTAGGTGGGAAGGCTGAAATGGCATCATCATTTAGAGAATAAGCCTCCCAGGGTGTGGTTATTATTTTTTAAAGAAGCCTTATGCTGAGGCATGACATAGGCAGGGTGGGAGCCGCTGAGGCCCAGCTCCTTTTGGATACTGGTGCCTTTCCTTAGACACCTTCAAATTCACCCCCCAAGGAGGCCACTTTCCCTAAGGGCAGTCGGGCCCTGCCTATCCACACTGCCCCACCAAGCGAGCCAGCCTGTGCTCTGGGGGCTTCTTCACAGCCAGGGACTCTTGTCAGCGTTTTCAGGCCTCAGCTACGGTCTGGAGGGTGGTATAACCTCGGCTGGAAAGCTTCCATCTTAGAGTGTCAGCCCCTATTTTGGGGGCATGGGAGGAGAAGGGGTAGGCAGTATCAAGGGCCACAGGAGACTGGCTTAAACGTCCAAGGCAGAGGGAAGGTGGCTGAGGGAGAGGATGGTTGGCTTCTTCCCGGAGGATGAGGCTGTCAGGAGAAAGGTGGGTGGGCACTGCCATGTCCCTTCTCCTGTACTACTGCGGGGGTTCCCTCTCAGCTCTTACACCGGTGCTAAGGACAAGAAAAGAAACCAGGGCACCCTCTTGCTCCGGGAGGGATGAGCAGGCTTACCTGAGGCGCCGCTGTCCCTGGTAGTCCCTCCAGCCAGGCGCTCCAGAACCCGCTTCAGAAGATGCTCTGGCCGCTCGGGGGCGCCCAGGGGGGCCCAGGGAGGTGAAGCCAGGGGCTCGCCGGGGGATAGCTCATCTGAGGAGTACGAAGAAGGAGAGCGCAGGGGTACTCCGCACCCCAGCGGCCCTGGCCCTGGCACCTCTTCTAGCTGCAGCCAACAGGGCCCCCCGTTGCCCGGCTCCTCTGAGACCCCTAATGGCTCTCCCCCTTCTTCCTCACCGGGCGGCTCCAGCCCGGGCTCGACTGAGGGCTCTCGGAGGAAAGCTGGGAACAGCAGGCGAGACACGCTCTGACGCCGCTGCAGCGGTCGCGGTCCCCCGGCCGAACCGCCGCCTCCGCCAGGGCCCCCACTCCCTCCAGGCCCTCCGCAGCAACCCGGACCCCCGCCGGGACCTCCTGCCACCGCTCGACCCGCCAGCTGCGACGTCTGCTTCTTCAAGAATTTCTCCAGTGGCTTCATGCCCCCCCCCCGCCCCTCTCCTAGGGGCCGCCGGGGGACCCAGGTGTCCCAGGCGCGGGCGGGGGGGGGCGGGGACACGATGCTCAGAGCCGGAGGGGCAGAGCCGAGGGCCGTGCCAGGCGCCGGACTGCGAGCCAGAGGTGGCCGAGGCTCGCTGGCCAGAGTCCAGTGACCAGTGGCCGGGGGAGGTACCAGAGGAGAGAGAAGCTCACTCTCAGCGGCCCCGCATGCTGGCTGTGGCCGAAGGGCGGGCAGGCTGAGAGGCCGGTGTCCCCGGCTCAGCGCTCCGGGGCCGGGCTGAGGCGGCAGAGGCAGCGGGCGGAGCGCAAGGCTGAGGACGCGGCGGCGGCTGCGCTCCTGGCCCCGGGGAAGGTGGCAGAATTGAGACCGCGCCCCCTCATCCAGTCCCCGCCCCTACTCTGCCTAGTCCCGCCCCAACCCGGCCGCGCGAGGCTTGAACTTGGGCGCTGGTGCTGACCGCGAGGAAAATTCGGACTTGGTTTCTGACAATTGCAGAAACTAAGGGCAAAGGCGAGGGAGGGGTTTACCAATGGAGAGTACTCCTGGTTCTCGATTACCGGGTCTCTTACGATCGTTTCAAATAACCAGGGCAGATTTTTGACTTACATCTTGACGCGCCTACCTGTACACAGGTGAGGCTTAAAAGGCTGCTGAATTCATTGCATCTGTACCACAATTATGTGATCTTTATCCCCCACCCGTGAAAGGGGCTGGGACAGCGTCTGGGGTGAACTGGCATTGGCACTAGGGGCGGTACCCATATCCTTCTCTGATAGGGTATAGTAGGTGGTGCAGGGCCGCCCTGTAAGGCAGGTACCGGCAGGTAGGAAAGAGCCAGGCAAAGACCAGCAGGTCGTGGCAGGTCTAATTGGGGTGAAAAGAGATAGTAGGCAGCAAGAGACCAAGAACACAGGGGCATCTTAGCCCAGGTGGTAGCAAAAAGAAGCAAGACTGAAGAGATGGGTGGTAGGTTCCCAAACGGCTGTCATCAAGCACATTTCTCCCTGGGAGAGATGTTGCCTTCACTCCTGACGGCCATGCAAGTGCATTCTGTCACCAAGGGCACCCTGCACTTGGAGGATGAGGCTATAGAGACAGTGTGAATACATCCAGGCTAGGTATACATAGAGAGGGAGTGGCACCAGGTCCCTAGTGGGTTGGGGATCCTTGGACAATGCCCCAACCCTGTTTACTGAGCACTAGCCAGCCATGGATGAACAGGAATGCTAATAGCTGGGAGTGGTGGCACTGGCAGGGTGTGTACTACACTTGGGTTGCTGTCTGGGCATACCCAGTTCCATGTGTGCTAGAGCATGTGTTCACAGATATAAAGCTCTGCACACCCATCTGTGGATCTGGAGAGGGAACAAAAAAAAAATAGAAAAAAGCTCTGATTTTGGCTAAGAAGCTAGGTCTCATTGACTTTCTGGGCTCCCGTCATCGGACACTCAGTATCTCTTATGGTTGAAACTGGCTAGGAAGGCTTCTTAAAGCTCCCCAGGTAACCTTTTAGGAACCAAATAAGAGGAGGGGAGGGCTTCTCTTCTGCACATGCCACAGTTACCAGATTAAGCAGTTGCCTTGGTAACCTCCTCTTTGGGCAGGATTTTGGGATTGTCGGTTAGGAAGGGTGAAAAATTGGGAAGCGTAAAGACTGCAGGGGCTGGAAATAAAAGGGACTGAGAGAGACTTCTAGAAACTACTTGCTTTCCAGACCCTTCTGTTCAAGACCTTGAATCAGAAGGAGGCATTACATTGTGGTCCTTCCAGCTGGTGTCCACCCTGGCTATACCCTGGAACCAGAGGGGCTTCTCAGAACTGCTGATGCCTGGATCACAACATAGATCAATGATGAGGTAGATCCTGAGGCAGGCCCAATGTGTTAGCTTAGTTAGAAAGCTCCCCAGGTGATTAAAATAGCCAGTATTGAAAAACCACTGCTCTAGGTCAACCTTAGGAGGCACCTGATGGTCTGGCAATTGCAAATCCTTGCTATTTTGAGTTACCTACAGGGTAGGTCCATGAACTGACCCCTGCCCCCAGGGTGGTGATTTATAGGGCTTCTGCATTACCATGAGAGAAACAAAGAGAAAAGCAGGATGGTATACAATTTCTTAACTGAGGAAATGGGGGCCAACAAGCTTAGCTGGGCCTGCCCAACCCATGAGCTTCTAAAAAAGGTATTGGACAGGGCAGTAATGTATCTGCCCCTTAAGCTCCCATTATTTCTGCCCACAGAGAGGCAGGCTTGGAGGGCAGAGAAAACCTGAGGGCTCTGCTGAGCTTGAGTTTCTTCTTGCTGAGCTGGTTACCAGGGCAACAGAGAGAGCAATGGGATCTAACCAGAGGACTGGGGAAGAGGCAGAGGTGAGGAGGAAGCATCCTAACATTCTTTTTCCCCAAGGTTGGCTGGCATTCTTTGTATGACCCAGGAGATCAGGGATATAGTTACCCATCACCTGTGGGACAGAGGGAAGATGTCCCAATGACACCCACACCACCAGTGTAAAGCTTTGTGGAACTAAGAACAAATATTTCCAGCCACATAATACCCAAATACTCTTCCATACCAGGGTGGCCTTTGTATAAGTTGTAAATTTCCACCCAGAGAAAGTTAATTCAAAAGTGGTAATTACTCTGTGTGTTCCAGAGTCTCAAGTGAAAGGCAGCATGAACCAGTTAGTGGTCTGTTTGCCTCAGCATTACCAGTACTAAGACTGTGGGCCTCGGTATGTTAGTACCATCTCTACTCCCACCTCACCCAACACCTGGCTTGAATTCACTCTGTAAACCAAGCTGGCCTCGAACACACAGAGATCCACTTGCCTCCCAAGTACTGGGCTTACAGATAAGCACCATTATTCCCAGCTGTGGATAGTTATCTTTCTTGGAAAGTAAAGATAGCACTAAAAGCTATAGTGACCCACACTTTTAATCCCAGCGCTCCAGAGGCAGAGGCAGAGGCAGGTGGATCTCTGTGAGTTCCAGGCCAGTCAGGGTTACATGGTGAGACAGGGTCTCAAAAAATAAAAAATAAAAAAAATGAATACATAAATGAATTTTTAAAAACTGTCAGAAATTGTGTGTGGCTGTACACACCTGAAATCCTAGCACCTGGGAAGCGGAGACAGTAGGGTCAGAAACTGAAGAGTATTTTCAGCTACAAGGTGAGTTAAGAGGCCAGCCTGGACTACATGAGCCCCTGGTCTAAAAATAATAAACAACAAAAAAGAGGGATAGAATGAGAAACTGTTAGTGAACACATTCAAACTTGGGACCTCACAGAGGCTCCTTACCTTGCTGGCCTTCCATTTTACCAGGCTGAGCTGGCTCAAATTACGACTGTAGCTCCATAGTGAAATGAGTCTCTTTCTCCCCTCCCAAATCAATATACAAATAAAAACTGGAAACAGACTCAAGTCTATAGTCTATATTTTATTATCTCCAAGTCACAATGCTGATCACAAATATGCACCCTTTAAAACAGTAACAAAAACAACACACATGGTGAAATCTTTGCAACTAAACACAGTGGACCAACAGACAACTGTCACAGTGTCTTAAGGTCTGGGGATCTGGGCATGTTGCCCACAGGCTTGAGGAAACATCTTCAGGTTTAAGGCAAAGGGAAGCCTATAAAAGGCACAACCACCAGCTATCCCTGGAATAACCTCTTAGTTATTTTCCTCCTTGGGGTTTACCCCCACTCCCGACTCAAGAGTGGTTAGGCCAGTTGTAGGAAAAAAACAGTGACATTACTGGGGAGGGACAGCCACCACCTTATCCCTCAGGTTCTGGAGGAACCCTGGCAGGCATAGTGCAGCAGTAACGGACTTCCACAGAGGCACAGGGATGTGGTTTGGTGCCATGGAGAGGAATGATAAAAGGGAGAGCCTTTGCCCAGAAGGCGACTTGCTTCTGTAGGATTTAAGTCCAGGTAGTTACTTTCTATTTGCAAGTACTGGAGCAGAATTTGGGGAAAGTAAGGTAGTAACATCTAAAAATACTTGTAGCAGGGAAGGCATGGAGAAGAACTGCAAAAGACAAGGCAGACAGACTGCTGGATAGTATTTGTCTCTAGAGATGCATTGGTCCACAGCAACTGGGAAGGGGATGTAGTAGGGGGGATGTAAAGAAAAGAAGCAGGGCCCTCTAATTCCACTTACCTCAAAGACAGCCCCGAGGACTCGGCCATGCATTCCCCTAGTCGTGCAGAGGATCCCACTCCACCCTCCCTTCTCACAAAAGCATCCGTTTGTTCTCTCTCCACAGGAGAGATTCTGCCCCCGTGGAGGACTGAAGCCCATCAGAATAGAGGTATGAAGAAGGCTCAGATTTGTAAGACCTACACCTCCAACAAGGGCTCCTACTCACCCACTCTGACCTCTCCTCTAGAGTGGGACACTTCGGGCAGATAGCTTCCACAGAGCTAGAGAAGTTAAGAGACTAATAAAGACCAATCACAAGGAAAAGGCCAGCTATTTTTACACTTGGTTGATACAGTCTCAATTATGTGGGAGTTTGGGAGGAGTCAAAAGGGACTCCAGAGGGGATAGTAAACTAGAATGAACTTGTTTCATGTAAAGTCAGGGAACAGCAGGGAAAAGGAGAAAAAACTAAGAATATTAATTTAAGAAGGGTAAGTCAGGCTTTAAAAATGAACATTCAAACAAATAAGCAGGAAGGAACTTCCCTGGGAGCAGAAGACACTTGAATCTCCGGGGAGAAAGTAAACAACAGTGAGATGCAGGCTTCTGAATAGACTCTGAGGCCTGGGCTGTCCAGTCTCTGCTCCCCGGAGTCCAGGCAGCTCAAGTGAAGAGTGGAGATTTCTTCTCTCTCTAGCAGGCCTGTCCTCAGAGGAAGAGGGCATCTCATCCTCCAACTGTCGGCTGGCAGGGCCACCCCACATTTCTTTCCCCCGAGTTTTCACCTTTCCTGTTCTATTGAGAGTTAGAAAGAGAAGAACCGAGTGTCAGTGGACCTCTGGGTATTTATATAACCCTTCTCAGAAGGCCACATTTCTAAATAATGTGGTTTTTTTGGCGCCAAGGATCAAGTCCAAGACCTTGAACATGCTACACCCTCATCTTCTAAATAATGTGTTTTAATGACCACAAAACAAAACAGCAGCAATAAAAATATCCCAGAGTCAGGTGTGGCGGCCCACACCTGTAATCTGAGCAGTCAGGGGTGGAAAGCAGGAAGACGGAAAGTTTGAGGCCGGCTAGGGTTATATAGTGAGATCTTTTTTCTTAAACAAAAACACACTCCTCCAAAACCCTGAAACAGCCCTAAAGCCACTACCTTCTCAAATCTTTAGAATTGGCTTCTTTGGC